ATATATATATATACGACAGTAAACGTGTGTATGTTTGTGCGTACGTATGTGTGCACATACGAAATACATATGTGTACAATTTATTTATGTTCAATATATGTACGCGTGTATGCATGCGCTATGTACTGACTATGTATATATACTTATATATAAACATTGCGCAAAAAAGGAAAAAATCCTGAATAACTTTTGTTTCAATGATCGGGTTTTAACAGAAATATGAAATTAAAGTTCCAAATAAGACCGAACTAATGTTAAAACTGATTTTAACGCAAATACTCATTTACCTGGTTATGCTATCTTTTGGTTCTTAAACAGCACCAACAAGCAAAAAAAAATTTTTTTCAAGTTTATTTTTGGTTTAAAATGTATTAATTATTGTTTTAGATCTGGGTATTCTTCTAACTTAGAAAATTTATAATAGTTAGGGCTCGTTTCATTTTGGCGGGAAAAAAAACCCTTACGAATAAAATCGACAAAGTGGACAGTTTGATTTTGACAAAGTTTTTAATTTGGTTCAGGATCTTGATTCAATTCTTAATTTGAATGAGCGTCAAAAGGTTAAGTAGGTAATTCGAGAGATGAAACAATTTTTGGCAATTTAATGGATTTTTTTAATCGTCCTTTTAATCGTTTATAGTCTTCAAATTTGGAATGTTAAAATTGCTACAGATGGCCAATAGCAAAATTTCCCATATAATGGATGGAATAACGGATTTTTATCTACCCTATTATCAACCAACATGATCCAAATATTGAATTCTTCTGTGCGAGCATTGAGGGATTTTTATTTTATATATAATTTTGAGTATTACAATAAATAATTGTATTAAGTAATGAATTATAAGTAAATTGGAATGAATATAATGAAAAATTTTGTTCCTAATATTAGTTGTGAAGAAGACTTTTATTGTGAATGTGATGATGAATGCCCTGAAATGGAATACTGCGAATTCGGTGAAGTCCCTGACGTCTGCGAATGTTGTTTCATGTGCGCTAAGGTAAGTAAGTGTTCACAGGCTGATAAAAGTATGCAAGAACAATTTATTTAAGTGCCAGAAGTGTTGTTCATCACCCAGCGAGTAGCCTAAACACGTTCTTTGGGTGGATCACATTCACACAATAGAAGAAAAAACACATAAAGAGAGCTGGACCCACAACCATTGACTTCGCAGTCAATAACCAATGGAATACGTGCAAGTGATGTATCTCGATCCTGATTGGTTGTTGAAACGCGACACATTTCTTTACGTTAGCAACTGTTCTTTCCATTCTATTTCGAGTACGTCAAGCTCGTCAAGTATCAATTAACTTAAGCACACATTCTATATTCTTTCACAAAGATTTCTTTTTTTTTTCACAATATATTTCTTACTTAGCACAAAGTTATGTAGAACATAAACAAACTAATTATGCATTAAAGTTGCCAGGTCCACAAAGAAAAAAAAATATCACGTTACAATAAAATACATAAACAAATATTAAATCTAAGTTCGATCGAGGAAGAATAATATTTTTAACAAATTCGATGCGGCGCTGTATTTAATTAAATTCACGTTAATTAACATTCTAACTTATGTGGATAAACTTAGCCCAACTTTGACACACCATTTTACTTATAAACGATCCATTGACATCAGAGGTCATGTGCGGGTATCAGTGATCCTCTTTTTGAAGTGCAAGCACCCAATTAAACCTAAATTGAGATATAAAAATTTAAGAATGAAATAAAAGAACCATGAATGAATTACAATTTATTTTTGCGCTGTGATTCAAATGCGGGTCAGAATCTAGAGAGCATATTTAATATTGCTGAACTCAGTCATCTTCCTCAAAGTACAGTCACAAAAAATTGAACTGACTAACTTATTATATAATGATCGAATTTTCATGTATTAAGAAACAATCGCTTTAGGGCCCAACTTTAAATAGTAGGGGCAACCTGGAAAATGTGACCCCGAAGTTTAGGCGTGAGAGATTATAATCTTTTAATGTTAATCTCATGCTTTACGTACTTAGCTACATATCAAAAAAAAATTTAATATTTTGTTTCTCCAAAAATGATTCCATATAAAAAAAATAATTTTTATAAATACATGACAGGCATCGTATTGGCTGAAAATAAAACTCAGGACAGCATCTTGCAAAAAAATCTAGGATTTGTTTTAGAATAGAATAAATATAACAGACTACTTTTTAAGGAAGCAAACGACAAAGTATAATTTTCTCTATTTAAACTTTTTTTAGTATCTATAATAAAAGCTAATTTTATTGGAAATAATAATAAAATAAGCTCTTTTTTATGCAATTATTTTCTTTAGAAGAAATAGAAAGTTTCCAGTTTAATTTTATTAATAGAGCACTGAACATCTTTTTTACTACTTTTAAATCAATATACAAAAATTTTAAATAGCATAAAGAAGATTCGTCCTCTCTATGGTTAGCTCAACAGCCCCCATATTTGTTTCTCATTATTTGTTCAAGGATGCATTCATCATTGTTTACGCTCTTAAAAGTAGATTAAAAACAATATAATTTTGTTTATAAAATATATTATAAATTTTTATGTAAGCACATTTTGAAAACACGGTAACTGAAATAAAATGAATGAATACTGCGAGTACGAGAATTACGAGGGTCGTTTTCTAAGTAAGGGCCGTTTAAAAATAATAACCAAACAAAAGAAAATTTTCAAGAAGCTAATTTATTTTCAGATTCTACATGCATTTCTCTTTTATTTTCCAGCATAGTTGCCAAGTTTAAGCACTTATCATACCTTACAACTAGATTTAGAATACCCTCTTCATACAAAAAACTTGCTGCCTGCTCCGTTAACTAAGAGGTCACGGCCGTTTTCACGTATTCGTCATCGTTGTAATATTTGCCGCCAAAATGATGTTTGAAATAACGGAAAAGATGAAAAATCATTTAGCGCAAGGTCTGGGCTGTAGGAAGGGGTGGTCCAAAACTTCCCAATAAAGCTGGGATCTGAGCTGCGGAGAGAGTTATTGTTGTAGAGCAGCAAATTTCCCTGTCAGCATGACATGTTATTTTGCTACTTCACAAATCTGCCAGTGAATATATGCAGACAGGTTCTTTCCTAGACTCGCATCACTCACCGTATCTGAATCGATTTCTTAAATGTGAACATTTTAAAGACGCAGAACTAACCTGCACAGTTGTTCCCAAGGAATGCCGGGACACGACACACGCGTCACCTAATAGTGTACACAACAAAACATCCCTTACTTTAAAAAATCACCCTCGTAATTGGACAGTCATTATTTAAAGCGAAAAAGTGAGGGAAAAAATCGCACTTTCTTTTTTTTTTTTTTTTTANAAAATGGTATCCCTTTTTTTTTTTTTTTTTTTTTTACACAGGCATTGAACAGCCGACCCACTTCTGACGACTACCAATGTAATTTTTAACTAATCCAGAAGACAAGGAACTCTTTTTGGAACAAATTTGCCTTCGTGGAGGACTTGTTTGATGCAACTACTGGAATTTCCATGTACCGCATTTTCGTTACATGGAGAGAAAAAGTACGAAAATCTCCCATNCCCTCGTAATTGGACAGTCATTATTTAAAGCGAAAAAGTGAGAAAAAAATCGCACTTTTTACACAGGCATTGAACAGCCGACTCACTTCTGACGACTACCAATGTAATTTTTAACTAATCCAGAAGACAAGGAACTCTTTTTGGAACAAATTTGCCTTCGTGGAGGACTTGTTTGATGCAACTACTGGAATTTCCATGTACCGCATTTTCGTTACATGGAGAGAAAAAGTACGAAAATCTCCCATGGTTAGCCTGACGGCAAGAGAACTTTAACTCATGATCCACCTACCACTGAAGATATTTTACGTCAGCACTTCGGTCTGTACGAGCCGGGTGCAGAATTCGTATCGACCAGCCATTGCTGGAATTCGAACCCGGTTCACCTTATTGAGAGGCGAGCTCTCTATCCCCTAACTTTCAATCAAATAATGATTTTGAAAACTCGCGTCAGGTTTATTAATGAAAATAGTACTTTCAGCACACCGAATTTCAACTCTGTATTTGTATTTCTACAAAGCAGTTTATAGACATATATTTTTTACAAGTTTAATAGCAAATAATTTTCGAGCCAATTATCGAATGTTAAATTTATTGATTCCATTGTACTTCTACATACCTCGCGCAACGAAATAAAATGTAACGTAAATTTGAACGCTCAAAATAATGATGCGCATATTACTTATTTTTAAATATACAGGGTGCGTAGCCAAATTTTTCAACAAGAAATTAGCACCTTTTGAGCACTTTTCAAGCACTCAAAAAATATTTTTAAGCACTTTGAAAAAATATCATAATTAGATAGAGTTGGCAAGTTTTTGACAGTTGATGGTTTTATTTGCTTGCCATTGAAGAAGACGATGGTGCGTTTCCAACGATGAAATTAATAAGAGAAATGAAATTTTCTTTCGCTAATAGAGAAAAAAATTGACAATGTTTAGTTGGTCCCAGTAATTAGCAAAAATTCGAGAGATTTTTTGATTCTATTACAAAGGGCGGAAAATGAAGTCTGAAATTTAGAATCTCTTGCAAAATGCAGCAGAGTTGCACATGAGAGACAAAAAATCTTTACCACTGAATCCAGCTCAGTATACGCAAGTGTGGACAAGCAAGTATTTCATCAAGCGTGTACAACAAATGGTGTTTTCATACACTACAGACCGACGGTTCGCCGAAATAGATTGGGGTTGAATAAATTGTGAAAACGTTGAATAGGACGATATCTTTTTGCATAATTTGGGGCGAAAACCAACAAGGTAAAGAAAAATATCGCATTTCGGAAAAGGGAAAATTAAGCACTTTTTAAAAACACACATGGAAAAAAGCACCTTTAAGGGCTTTTAAAAAACGAAAATCGAAAAAAAGCACCTTTGAGCACTTTTTAAAAACGCTATGCTCCCTGTTTAACTTGAAAGTCAATCCGCTTCAGCTAAACACTTTATCACTGAAAAATAAATAGCCAAAAAAAAAGTAAAAAAAGAGTCAATACAATTAGCCGAAAATATTTATTTACAAAATTTAGAATTCCAATGGTTATGAGCAATGTAAAAGCAATAGCACAAAGTTTAGCTCTAATAATACAGAACAATTAAATAAAAGTATTTACAAAGTCTTTCAGTTCGAGTTAACGCGTCGCAACACTCATTTTCAAAATCATTTTGGGAAATTTTTTCAGGAACAACAACCATAAAGGCATTTTTTAAATGTTCTTTCAGGTTGTAATGCTTGGTAGAAAACGCTTCCGTTTTTCGTTGCAAATCGAGATGTAGAGAAATTTCCGCAGATCTTCAAGCCATAATAATTTTAGTCCTTGCAATGTCTCTCAAAAGTCCAGAGAACATCTGCTTACATGTTATTGTTTTTAAATCATTACTCACATAGAAGTTTAAATTTCACCCACATCAGTTGGGAACCACTCAGAATCCATCGACGTCCATGTCAACCAAGCCTCCTCTTCGTAATAATTACTTTCACAACAACAAAAATACCCAAAAAAACGCCGAACTCGTTCAAACACTCTCATGATAAAAATTTGCAAAATTTCTTAAAATAAGATGTATTTCTCTCTTTAAAGATAACTTTACAAATGACATAAACTCTAAAGTTGTAATAATTACTCTTTTAAACAATGTAATCGAGAGCATTGTTGAAAGAAGAATTATGCATGATTAATGAATGAGTGTTATCATTTATATGTGTTTTAAAAAAGTATTGTTACAAAATATAAATAAAACAATTCAAAAAAGTTGCTACCGCTAAGACCATTTTTAAAAACAGAATCCTATTCGAAGCGTTGTTGTTCAGATATATTAACGTTTTAAATTTTTCAAATAAAGTAAAAGCAGTGATTTCAAAAATATATTACCGCATGGAGTTAACGCATACTTGTTTGCAGCTGTCTAAAATACTAAATATTATAATTATTTAATTTTAATATAAACACAAGAATCATAGAAAAAAATATCTATTTATTAGATATTTATATTGCCTATTTATTAGATATAATCTCTTTCAGTTAAAACAATGTTTAAAAATTTATTTAACAGCATATCGCTATTATTACATTTACCCTTTCAGGGTGCGTAGACAAATCTCTCAACAAAAAATAAGCACCTTTTAAGTACTTTTTAAGCACTATGTACATTAACAAATTGCAAAATAATTTTCAGACTTTTACATGATCATGATAAAATAACTAGTTTTAGACAAAAAAAACTCTTTTCCTGATTATATTAGCCACCATAAAAAGATCAAGAGATATTTTTCGCTTCGATTTCTGAGGGTGAAAATGAAGCCTGGAATGGAGAATATCTTGCAAAATGCAGCAGAGTTGTTGCACACGTGAGTGCAAGAACCTCACCGAACCCAGCTCAGTAGACGAACATGCGGACTCGCAAGTATTACATCAAACATGTAAAATAATTAGCGCTTTCATACGCTACGGACCGACGGTACACTGAAATGGATTGTGGTTGAATGAATTGAACGAAAACATTGAATAGAACAATGGGAAAATCATGCATTTTGCATAATATGTGAACGAAAATTGACATACTAAAAAAATGGGAAAATTAAGCACTTATTAAAAACACCCAATGAAAAAAGCACCTCTAAGGGCTTATAAAAAACAAAAATCGAAGAAAAGCACCTTTAAGCACTTTTTAAAAACGCTACGCACCATGATATAGAGAGACTTCCATTAAAAAATAGTCACTGTCAATCTGTTAATATTCCCTTATACCAATATTTAATTAAAATTTGTAATAGACTTCTAGATAACTTTAATAATCAAATAATTTTAAAAATAGGGCTTCAATAATCTCAGAAATACAGTAAATATAATCTTCTAGTGGGAAAATAGTTTAGCGGTTAATCCCTCAACAAAAAAGCTTTTATTTGGAAACGATCATGTTTCAAAATAACATGTAAGAGACAAACTAATAATCGTGAGCTTCCCAATAAAATTTGCCACTGAAAATAATAAATAAGTACCCTTAAATACATTACAATAAGTTCAAATTTAGTGATTTTTACTTTTATTTATTATTTTGTGATTTTTACTTTTATTTTTTGTTGTTAAATTCTCTTCTCGTTTAACGATTGAAACTCTCATAAATAATACTTAACATTATTTAACAACAATACTGCAACTAAAACTACACCAGTAATAATAAAAATTTTAATATTATAATTTAATTATGGCAAACTAATTATTGAATAAATGAAGTCAGTTACTTTTTTGTTTCTAACTCAAAACATTAATTAATTGTAGACAGAGAGTTAATATTTCAAACGAAAAGAAAATTAATTTAGATCAGGAAGCTTTTTTAAATTAAATTATTTTTGGCAGAACAAGTTTTTATTCTTTAATTACAAATAGATTGACTACAGATTTTAAATTACTTGCATTAAAATAAGTATGAATAAAATTAAATATGTTTTAAATTAACTATTGATGTATATATATTTACTGGTAGTGAAACAGCAAATTATTTTACTTGAGCACATTAATATATGAAAAGAATAATGAAATATTGTCATTTAAAAGTTACATTCTTGTCTACTTTCTCACAAATGGGCAATAATTAAAACTTTTAATACGATTAATTTCTATGACATCAAAGCTGAAATCATGTCAATATTTTTAAAAGTACACTCGTGATATAAAGTATCATTAACTGAAATGAAATTAGGCATATTTAGAAATATAAAATAAATAATATATCCAAGGAATAGGAAAAAATATATCCAAGAAGAATGTAGGGAAAGCTATTGCTTACAAATAGGGATAAGTTGGTGCAAATTTTCGAGCAATTGACCAGCAAAATTGTCTATTAAAACAGAAAAATTCTAAGTTGACAGATCATTCTCAACAGTGCCAAAGATGAAAGGCAATCAGATCTCAAATATGTTTCTATTCCCGGGCATGGCTGGCTGATTTGAATTCAGCACACGGCCACAGGGCTGACTTAAAACATCCTCATTGGTTAGACGGATTACGGGTTGCCGCCAGACTAACCGTGGTAGGTTTTCCTCTGCATGTAACGCAATTGCGGGTTAGTTCCATCAAAAAGTGCAACGTAGGCAAATTTCTCCCAAAACTCGATCCAGGAGTTCCGTTGTTTTCTAGATTGGATTAAAAATCAGAAGGCTACTGAGTTGAGCATTAGTAGTTGTAAATCCAATAAATTGGGTCGGCTGTTCAACGACGGTTATTAAATAGAATAAAATGTTTATATTAGTTTTGATTTTTTTGTTGCTCATTTACGTCGCACTAGAGCTGCACAATGGGCTACTGGCGACGGTCTAGGAAGCATCCCCGAGGATGATCCGAAGACATGCCATCACAATTTTGATCCTCCGCAGAGGAGATGGCACTCCCGTTTCCGTATCCCGACGACCTGCACGCGAAGTCAAGTCTTTCAAGGTAGAACAGTTTAACGAGGACCATTACCGCTCACCCTCGGTTTCTACGCAGACTGATTCAAGCGGTCACCGACCCGCATACTGACCGCAGCCAGTGATGCTTGACTTCGGTGATCTGCTGAGAACCGTGTCTTAACTATCAGTTCACTGCGGGACCTATTAGTTTTGAATATGAACGTTCTTTAGTAGTAATGGTCACAGGAACAGTGATTCTTCACAAAATTTGGCATATCATTAGTAAAATTGCTCCACAATAGTATTTACTTTTCTTCTTGAAACCTTGACAGTAGCAAGATGAGTGAAGATGTCTTGTTCACTTATATGGCTATAAGATAACTTTTTCTACAGTGAAAAAGAGGTAGAAATAGGAGTGTAATTTTTTATTTTATAACCGTCGTTGAACAGCCGACCCAAATTTGAGTTTATGTGNCTATCTACGTTCAACTCCGTAGCCTTGTAATTTTGAACCAATCCAGAAGACAAGGAAACTCCTGGATCAGTACCCCCAGAGGTTTTGATTTGTTGTGGGAACATGGAGGACTTAGCGACTCTACAGATTTAACGTGCATCAGTCACCATTTACTACTCGGGGAGTCTTTGGCCGGTCTGGGATCGAACTCACGAATTCTCGGACATGGGCCCAGAGCCCTACCAACCAGGCAATCCCGGCCCTAAGATATATATATATAGTTTAAAATCATTCTCAACATTCTTGCAACAACCCAGATCCATTAATCTTAATCTCATTTTATAATTCCCCTTCGGACAATGAAAATCAATTAATTAAACATCTACTTTTTCACAGTACTACAGAGGTGTGATTTGTTATGGGAACAAGGACTTAGAGACTCGACAGATTTAACGTGCAACAGTCACTATTTACAACAGTGGGAATCTTCGCCCTCTTGGACATAGGCCCAGTGCTCTACCAACCAGACTATTCCGGCCTAGAAGTGTAATTTATAAAGTTTTTTTTTTCTTCAACGGTGCTAGAAAGTAAAGGGAAGAAAAAAATTGTAGCATTGTATTAACAAGTTTGGAAATTTTGGCGGACCTGTAGTAAAAAGAATGAAATTGTTAGATGTGCCATTTTAAATAACAAAAGCAGGTTGGAGAGTTTTTATGTAATCCAAGTTTAAAAATTCGTTTATCTAACATTTTGATTTATAAATACAGTCAAACCCCGCTACAGCGAACCTTCAAGGGACCGAAATTTCTGTTCACTATATCTGTTCCGCAAACAATTTTAACTAATGATTATGAACTCCTTTTAATTATCCATTATTTAAATAAATGACCCATAAAATGAAATACAAAAATGACTGAAAAGTAATACGTAGTGTAACAAAAATAGTGTGAACTTGCTTTTGCTTATTACTCTTCGTCTTGTGTACAAAAAGTTTTTCTTTTTAACTTTAGCTGTTGCAAGAAAAAATTTGTCCATGCATTTGCTTGGGTTGGCCTTGTTTAGAAATGGAAAAGTGTGATAAACGAAGCAAACAAGAGAAAATGCTTATCCACTCTAATGATGGTTTTAAAAATCAGTATAAGTATTTATTTTGATGTAGACATTTCAAAATTATTTTTTAAAAAAAATGGAGAGAAAAAAAATCAGTCGAAGACAGAAAAAAAGTTCATAATATCCAACATTCTCACTTTTTTTTAGTTCACTATATCCACAAAAAATAATATACGTGTATATCAAGGCACGGGACCGAACATTTCGTTCACTATAAACAGTGTTCACTATAGCGGGGTTTGACTGTAGTAATTTGTGATATTTTTTGTTAGTATGTAAAAAGCAGATTCTTTGTTTTAATTATATAAAAAGTCAAAAATATGTACAGTAATATATTTATAATAATTTTCAGGGTGAAGGGGAGAGCTGTGGAGGGATGTATGGCCTGGCAGGTACATGTGCTTGGGGACTCTATTGTCAAGCTCACCCAAAGTATCCACAGCTACCCGGTCTTTGTGTCTCATAACGTATCCATTCATTTTAGTGGTATTTTTATTTTAATAATAAATTCAATAATATGAAGATAGAATTAAGTCGTAAATTTGCAAAGTATTGAGATTATTTTTCAAGTGTTAACTAGATTTGACGACACTCGCTAGTTGGGCAATACTATATATATTTTTTTTTTAAGTCTTCTTTTATACATAATAGTAGAAATCATCCCCTCGATTTTAGTAACGAATTGTCACATCTTAAGTCAACAGTGGAGACTTTGAAACTTGAATAGAAATACAGCACAGCACTAGATTTTAAATTTGAGCTCTCTTGCTACTCAGAATTATTCATGTTAAAGTCTATGTGTAGAAATTAGAATACACTTGCAACTTATCATCCTGCACAGAGCTCCAGATAAAGTTAGAGTGCTTCTCCTACTCAGAAAATGTCCAGAGTTACAATAATTCAAAACTAGAATTACAATAATTCAAATTGAATAACGACTAACTGGAAAGTATATACAAGTTCAATTGCAAGATTATATTGCCATGGATACACAGTAATAAAAATTTGTTTTTTAATAACCAGAGCTGACATTTAAACTTTTTTTTTTCCAACTTACAAACTGTGTTGATTTTCATAGCTCTATCAATATGGAAAAACGAGAAATTAAAACTTAAACCATTTTCTACAAAACTAATCTAACATTTTTCAAAGTAAAACTAACCTTACTGTGAAAGTTGAAACAAAAGCATGCTCTCCATCTAGTTTCCAACATAGTTGGAAAGCAATATCATATGATTTTCTGCACTAGAACATCCAACATATTACAGAATAAACCCTCAAACGACTAAGATGGCATCTTAGTATTAGAAAATGAAATACCTCGATAGAAAATTATCCGGGTACTTTGCTCACTGCACACAACAAATCATTTGAGAAGTGTTCACAAGAGTCAATATTTATTCAGAGCCCTCACTGATAATAACTTTAAAGCTAATTTACAAAATGCTTTTAAATTGTACACAAGTAAATTAAGGTATACACAGTCGGACCTCTATTCAACGAAATCGCTAAATCTCGATAAAAAGTTACATGGAAAATTCGTTAAATAGAAAATCACCATTTAAAATACTTAAACACAAAACAGGTTTTAAATTCATAAACACAAGACATAATTAAAATAGCAATTAAGCCACCTTTATCTTGTAAATTAATATCTACTTTTGAGTTACTTAAAATGATTTTAAAATTTCTTAATCTTCCTCAAAATTTATTGCTGTATTATTTTTCACACTGTCCAAAATATTCAATTCACTTAATGTTTTTGTGGTTGCAAATCAGTACATCATAAAAATTTCTTCTAAAGGAATGTCATTTTTAGCAAAACACAAACGAAATGGGATTTTACTGCTTCTCTAAAAGTTGCTGCGAAAACCAATTCGCCATTTCCCCCATAAAATGCTTTAACAAGTTTGACATATTTTACGAAATAGGGAAAGCGGATCTTAAAGAGAAGTCCGTTAAATAGAAAATTCACTTTGTTATAAGGATGTTACATTTGGAAGAAATTTCAAAAATGTTCTCTGCTCCTTGAAAAAATTCGCAAAATGGAAGTTTTTTAAGTCAGGCTTTGACTTCATGAGAGTCAATGCTTTTCATTGCAGCATATGTGAACTAGCTGATACTTAACAAATAACATAATAAAGACAGTAGTTTGAGATAAAATACTTTATTTGTCTAATTTCGAAATGTTTCATGACATAATATTAACAAATGATTGGCATAAAAGAACATTTTTGAAGTAAATTTATTGGTCAGGTATGAATAAATTTTTGTCAAAAATGTGAGCTAACCTTTGATATACATTAAATAGAATGATTTGTTTCTAATGATGATCTAACGACACATTAAAAGCCTTAGAGAATGAATAATTAAATAAAAGAGAAAAAACATATAAATTAAAAATCTGCATCGAGGGTGAAAACATGATCTTCTTTGTTTGACATAACTCCACACTTTTGGTATTCTCCAACTTTCTTCTCAAAGAAATTGGTTTTGCCCTCAAGACTGATATGTTCCATGAAATCAAATGGATTTTCAACATGATACACCTGATGAAAAGGAAAAATAAGAACATAAGTTGAGTACAATATCAGATTACAATAACCCAAACATAAAATGCATCCAGTACGGCAATTCACCACTAAGATTTCACATGTCATTAAATGTTTTTGTCAAGATTATTTGAAAGAGGATGCTTTTATTTCACCGGAATCATAGTTGAAAGTACAGTTAGCGATTTGCGTGCTAAACTTAAAAATGGAAATTTTGTCTTCATGAATGGCATTCCAATCTAGCTATTCAATCTTGTTTTATGAGGAGGGAGGGGGGGTTTAAACCAACTTTTACATAAAAATTCACAAACGCATAATTGCCAACATTGGAGATATAGAATAATGTAGATTTTACTAGCAAAATTTTTTAGGCTATGAGTAAACGTTTGATACCTCATGCATAATCATAAAAGTCAAAAAGAGAAATTAATTGAAAATAATATAAGCACTTACATGTACCTAAGTAACAATCATGTATATAAATCTTAATCTAAAGAAGATTTTTTTAATACCATTATTTAAAATTACTTAAACTATAAACACTCAACATACTGCAGTACTGGCAACAGCACCATCTGTTGAGAAATAACAGATATTTTTGCCATTGATGCGTAATTTAATGAAAAGAATTTTTTTTCAACAAATACGGAGAAATTTGAGAATATACGGGTAAACAGGAGAATAGTCGTAAAATAGAGGAGTCTTCGTTAAAAAAACAGGAGACTTGGCAGGTATGCAAACAAGCAGGGAAAACAGAATTCTCCTTAACTTAAAAGAAAACTTCAGCTTCTACCTCAATAGATAAAACTATTCATTGAACAGTGCAGTTTTGCCACTGAAGTAAAACTGAAAATAAGTCCTTTTAGTTTCTTCAAATACAAAAAATAGTATGTCTCTCCAGATTAACAAATTTAAGAAAAAAAAGTACCTGCACTAGTGCTGCAAATTAATGAAAACCACACAAAAATGTTGAGTTGAAAGAAATGTCGCACTAAAATCTGAAAGCCATGCCCAATTATAAACCAATGAAATAAAAAATCAGGTGGCTTTATTATTATAACATGCATTACTGCATGTGAAACTATAAGAATTCACACAAGATTAGTTACTGCATTTGCTAAAAATAATAAATAAGCATATACCAGAATTCTCAATGTCAAAAATTCTGATAATACAAAATTTTTAATTGAGTTTCTTTTTCATAATGAATCCTGTGGGTAAGGATTTATGCCTCAACTTGTGTATATATCAGTATTCTCAGAAATCAGGAAAAATCTGTTCAATCATTGCAATAAAATATTTCATGTTTTAATTATGAGTGCATTTTTATTTTTAGTAGCTAAATGATAAATTTCAAAAGAGTTTTTTCCCAGATTTTAGTGAAAATAGTGATAATTTTCACAAATTAGTATGTTAGTGGCAGCCTTGTCAGAGATTCTGCAAGAATTTATAAACCAGGGATCTTTAGGACCCAGAACATCCTATATTCCAGGTTATTTTTTACTAGAAGTGGGCGCCTATTTGAAAAAATAAACCTACCATCAAAAGATTTAGCACATAAAACAGAGATATTTTATGATTAATGAAAAAAATGTGATTCGTAATAGTTCAACAAAGAATTGAGATTGAAATTTTTTTCTTTTTTTCTTTAAGAGATCAAAATCAGATAAATTTTTAAAAGGTACAGAATTTTTCTTTGCTATGTACTAATTCATCATGCAGATTAGATAAGCTAAAAGAACACTTTGCTAAAGGTAGGCTAAAATGAGTATTGAAAGTGTAAAGTAATAAGTCATGTATGCAAAATATTCTAGCAACAACTATATTAGTTATTTTATGGAAGAGAAACAAGATTTACTTTCACTTCTTTATTTAAATTTGTCTTCACATATTCTGTACCTTGTATTAGCATTTATCAACTATTTAGTCAGCACAATTTATTACAAAAGACAAATATTCTGTATAAATTTATTACAATAAAACACATATTCTGTATAAGTTTATGAATTGAAAAATATATATAACAGTGAAATAAAATACTAAAAATAAATGAACATTAAAAAGAATTTTTTTTAAAAAAAAATAAACTAGTAAACACAGGAAAATTAAAAAAAGTAAACTTATGAATTTTCAAACCTTCACACAAAAAAATACATACATAAATTTTTTTTTAAATAAAAATTCCTTTCAAAATTTTTGGCATAATGAAAAAATTATTCTATAAACTAAAAATAGTTTGGACTATAATTAATTCATAGGTATCAATCTGATATTTTTGTATAGGTTATTATCAATGTAAAAAATGCAATCATTTAATAGAATACCCGATGGTGTTCTTAGGTTAAAAATAAAGACTAGAGTCATTATATAGTTTGTCAAGTCAGTGAATTTAATGCATGTAGGATTTTCAACCCTCAGTAGAAACCCTCAAACACGACTGTGGACATTGTCTATCTTTTCCCCCCCATTGTTAAAAAAAAAAAAAAATTCTGAGAAAGGGAAAGATAAGACTGATCTAAAAAGGAAGATATCTACAAGTTGAATCTGATCTAATATATATAGATTAAAAAAAAAACTTGCAATGGAGAATATAACTCCATAAAATGCCTAGGCAACGTTTGAAATATTTCATACATTAACATACATGCCAAGAGAACATTTTTTTAAGCATTTATTGCATTTCAAGAACACCAATCCTAAAACAAGTTAATATTAGTTTTGTAATTTTACCCTTTCCTACAGACCATATCAAGAACATTACTTCACAAGAACTAAATTTAACACAATTATATTTATGTTTTGAACCTATCTCTAAAATTATATTCTAAAAGTTTGAAATGCAAAACTTTAATTTTACGACTGTTACTACAAATGAGTAGAAATAATTGTAAAATATATTGCACTAATAAAAATAAGACATATGCATTATTTTTATTTTTACAGAAGGAGGAAGCATTTTGAAAGCTATGCCTTAGAATTCAGAATTTCTGTGCCTCACTTTATTTTTTAAAGCTTTCAGATTTCACAAGCATTTCTGATGCTGCTAAAATTCAGTGTTCTGCAGACATTACAGTAGAAAATTACTTACTTTTTCACAACCCAACTCTACAAGCAACCTATCTGCAACAAATTCAATGTATTGTTTCATGAGTGTGTTGTTCATTCCTATCAAGGCGACAGGTAGAGCTTCTGTGAGAAATTCCTGTTCAATGGCAACTGCATCTGTCACAATTTGTGCAACTCTTTTTTCTGAAGGCTTGTTTAATAGATGACTGAACATGAGGCAGGCAAAATCACAGTGAAGACCCTAAACAAAATTCACTTATTCTCAGTAAAATATAATTCGAAAGTGAAAGCAATATATCTAATTGCAGATAATAAATAAAAAAAATCAATTATTGAACTAATTCTAAAGACGCATAGACATTTTATTTTACCAAAAAACAAGTACCTTTTCATAAGTCAAGAAATATTTTCAAGCAATTATATATATATTTATACAGGATACGTGCACAAATAATTTTTTTTCTTATCTTGGTAGAAAGTTTTTCATGTATGAATATATATGTAAATATTTATATATCTGGACAAATGTAACATAAAAAGCTTTTATAAATCTTTATTTCCCTTTATTTCATTATTAAAAATGAAACTTGTTCTTACAACAGAGTAGCCACTCAAATCTGTATAAAAAACTCCGTGTTTTCCCTGTACATTATACGCAATCAGACCTGCCAACCTTAGAAAATAAAAAAGCAGGAGACTCTTTCTGTATCACGACATAGCGCAATATTGAAAATTAAACCTGATTCACACTTCCTACAAGAAGTTTATTTCAAAATATATTATTTACATTACATAAAATAGACCACAATAAGATTCTGACACTGACTAATAAAGATACGTGTTCTTACTATAAAATATAAGGTTCTATAGAATTATATTAAAACATATCTTTTGATTTTTTCAAATTTAGGAAGAAGTTCAAAACTAACAAAATATGTCAATAATGAATACAATACTTTATAAATGCATTTCTTAATTTTTTTTTTAACTGCTACTGTTTTAAAACTGCAGATGTAGCTGATTTAGCATTATTTAAAAAAAAAAAAAAACTGGCATCTATAGAAAGTAAAAAAACATTTTGCCTAATGGTGTCCAAGATATCTTCGATTTTGCCATTTCATTGGTTATTGCTGCTGTTTTGGTTCACACTCACCATAATTTTTAGTGATGTTACGGGGCAAAGTTTTTCTAAATAAATGCCCAGCATGATCTGAAGCACAAGTTGAGAAGGAAATTGCACAAATTGTTGTTTTTTTCCTCTATCTTGCACTAAATAGAAAAAAGCAGGAGAAAACACCCTGAAGGCCTGAGGGCGAAGATTTGAGACAAAAGCAGGAGACTCCTGCTAAAAGCAGGAGAGTTGGCAGGTCTGCGCAATATATTAAGAGGAAACACAACAATTACTGCACTTTTGTGTGAGCTATATTGTACTAACTATACTAAATTTAATTATCGGAGAAACTTAGAGGGGAAAAAGGTACAGTAGAGCATATCTAAAATAAATAACGCTAGAGTAAATTAAATACTTTAGAATATCCTTAAGTATGCCATAGACTGAGCTTTGAGTGGTCACCATTTTTAAAAAGACAAAAATAAGAAACAAAACTCCCTGTATTTTTAAAGAAAAACTCAATATCCCCGTTGGATGGGGCAACCCTGCACAATTAATAATTCTCAATTGGAAATTAAATTCTAAATTTAGATTAACCCCTTAACGATCAGTTAATTTTCAAGAAATAAAAGTGCTAATTTTTTTTTTTATCCCTGAAAATTAGATAAAAATATGCGTATGAACAATATATATATTCATTTTTAATGTTTTTAGCTTGAAATTTTAAATTAAATTTTTTTGAAAAGCCAACATTGACTATGACTTAATGTTGGTTTTCCAGCAAGCAAGGAAAATTGTAAAAATATGTGTTCTTAACATTAAAAAAGAATTTTACTAAACTGACATATAATATTAATAAAGATTATTAATTTCTTCTTGTGTGATAAATTTCAAAGCATGAGATAAGAGACCAATGTCACAATCTGGAGAGTAGTACTGAGTTTCCTTCCTACCTCTCTTATATTAGTGTTGACATCTAGTTTAAAATAAACTAATTATCTAAAATTACCTTTAAAATATCTTCATACTGTCACCTGGTGTGTAAAATGAGAAATAAAATGTTTTCTGGGCTAAAGAAATGAATTAGTTTTATTCTTATTGGACATTTTAAGTTTTTTTCCCCCTTAACCAAAAGAGAAAAGAAAGCTATTTTTTTCAAAATGATATATTTAAAATGAATTTTGTATAATTAGGATGTTTGCTCTTTTCACCAAAATGCCTAAATAAAGAGTGATCTGCAATTCACTGGCCTCGTCTGATTTCCTGCGTTGGAGAAAATCACGAGAATATCAATAATAACTGAGCAAAGAAAAATTCTGATAATTTTCAGCATCCAGTTACTTTTATCGACATTCTTGTGATTTTCTTTTTAAAGATGGATATTATTATGGCATGCGAATTTTGAATTGTGGATTCAAGGAATCACTCCGACTCTGTTTGCGCAAATATTGTTAATTCACGTAGTGTTTAAATCATTCTTTCGATAGTTATTGCTGCGACACATTTTAAAAAATTAGTAAAACCCTAATGTTTTATTACACAATGCATGTAGTGTTATGATAGTATTTTCGGTAGTTATTGATTTTGATTTTTAAATGGTATTTAAATATCATGATACATTTCGGACAATATGGGAAGTTCGAATTGCACATTTTAGAATTTATTTTTTAACGCAATGATTCTATCCATTTTCCCCCTTCAGTTTTTAAAATCCGATAACAATAAGACATTTACTAAACAGCTGAAAAGAAAAATGTACTTGAGTAGTCCATTTTTTGAAAAGTTCGATCCGCAAGATTTCGAAGTCTATCTTTTTCTCGGTAGTCGCTGCTATGGATTTTTTTTTTTAAATGCTGATTAACAAAATATTGCTCCTAACATTAAAATAAAAATATTACTCATTCCATTAAAAAAACATATATAGTTTTTTATCTTTGCAAACATAGAACTTTTTTTACTATAAATTAATAACATATATTCAAAGTAACTCACAGAAAGATATTAGTGTTAAAGAAAAAATTCTGTCATAGGGAGAAGAGGCTAAAAAAAATAGGTCAATAAAAAATTCATCCAAAAAATATTCTTCAGATTTACTTACATCGAGTTTTTTCCTAATACAATTATTTATAAAATTTTTAAATATTCCAGTGCTTGAAAACAGGGTTTGTTGATTCAAATCAGCTTGATTTAAATCAAATAATTTTTTAAAAATCATTGATTTAAAAAGTTAAAAAACAGTGTTTTAAATTATTGATACTTTTATTACTTTCTTTTCTTAGTTCTAAAATTTATTTTATATAAATTGCTGCATTAATTAATTTAAGTCAACAAAATTACTTTCTTTCTTGGTGTGTGTTAAATTCCAACACATTTAAAATTACATTTTAAAAAGTCTTCTGATTGTTGAGATTGAAAGTACAGATAACCGTAAACATTTAATGCTGTCTTAATATTGATTTGCATAGCTGTAGAAAGTAATTAATAAACATTTTTTTTTCACAAAAAAGTACAAATAATGCAAATTAAAATTCTACATTATATTTTAATGGTGGAAAATGCTTATTTCTAAAGCTTGAGGTTATATTAAAAAGAAATTACCCTAATATGCCAAAAATGGAAGGAAAAAAAAATGCTGATGAATTCAGATATTTTTTTCCTGATATAGTGTCATGCTATTAAATTAAATAACCCAGAATTTGAATTGTGCTGTCTCTTTTATCAATAAGTATTTTTTTTTTCATATGTCTACAGTATCTTTGACATTATCATATTTTCTATAAAGAAATTTTGTGAAAAAAATTCCGAGTACATAGATTTTTTAAAATATTTTTTAGCTTAGCTTATCTATTTTGATAAAAAATCAATAATGAATATTTTAATAAAAAAATATATAGATTAAATATTTATTTTTTGATGAATGAGTAAACAAAATCTGTTTCATTTATTTCGTCATTTTAAAAATCAAGAGAAAAAAAAAGAAATCACAATTTTAAATTAACATTTTGGATTGCTGATTGAAACTTTGTTTCATTAGTTAAAGTATTCCTTAAACTCTATTTCATCTAGTCTTTAAATTTCAATTATGCATTTTTTCAAAATGGTTGCTATGCATTCAAAGCTATGTATTACAATAAAAAATTGTTTCGGTAGTTAGAGCTTCTAAAATATTGTTATAATATAGTTTTAATATTAATTAAACATTTATAAAGTTCATTTTAATCATAAATCTGAGTTCTTACAGTCTATTTGAATAAAATAAAAAATCTGATTTTCCTTTTAAAAAAATCAGGAATCCTGCTAGAAAAGTTTGAAGTTTGTCTGGAGTAAGAAACCCTCCTAGCCATTAGCCTGGATCCCTGGCAGCTAATATGGTAACGAGGTATAACTATTTCAACATTGTTTAGGACAAGGTTGGGCATGGGTCGCCAAGAGAAAGGGAATATTTTTCTTCAGTCTATTGGGTTAGTCATAGACAGAAGAGCAGCTATCCTACCTGAAATGCACTATTCTTGTTTCCATAGTAGCAGACTGCCTCAGACTTCCTGGCGTGGGGAGACCAGTCCAAACAGACGTGTAGACAAACTATACTTTTAATTTAATAAACAAACAGGAGTAAATAGACTTATAGTCTTTTAAATCCCAGGATGACCAAATTTTTCACAAAACTTTAAAAAAAAAAAAAAATTAAAAAGTGACAATTTTGGGAAAACCTTTTTTCTTCAATAAAATTTCCAGTTATATTATCATTTTGTTAGGCTTAACAAATCTATTCTAATTGCAAAAATCAATATTATTAAGTTTGTCAAAAATATCAAGACAACATGTCAACTTCAATATTTAAAGTGCTTTGTGTATTTTATAGAATAATCATACATACTAAATTGTTGAGACTAATGGAACTAATGGACCAGTCAAACTAATACTGCATGAATGTCTGACAGTACCGACTGCTTTTGCAACATAATAATTGGAAAGTTGATGATGATCTCATTAAAATATGCATAGCCGCCAACATGGATAGGAAAAAATCCAGTAGATTTTACGAAATATAAGTTTCATGATAATTGTTGCATAATGTACTAAATATTTTACACATAAGGATTTCAGGGATTTTTAATGTATTCAAAATAGGAAAACTGCAAAATTTTCAGTTATGTTTGACATTAAACATATTTGAAATGTTATGTATTATATTAAACCATAATTTCGAAAATTGATAGGCATTTAATTCATCAAAAGATAGTTACATTTTTTAAAAAATTAATTTAAAAGTAGTTCTGAATAAAAAGAAACTGAAAATTTTAGAAGAAAAAAAAAACAAGTTTTTAACTGATTTCAATAAATGAGGTTCACTTTATAAAGTATAGCAATACTTATTTAAATATTCAAGCAAGCAATAATGTGTACAAAAATTTTATTTCAATAGGGATTTTATTTATGGAAACTTACTCAACTTTAGTGAATTTTCTAAAATGTACAAAAACCAGGAAAATTTTAAACCCGTAGATCGGCATAAACTAGCAAAATCGATTAGTATATTGGAAAATCAAAAAGTGTTGGCAGCTATGAATATGGATTGATTAGAATTAATTAAGTCATAAATTTACCTCATCTCTGCTGATTAATTCATTACTGAATGTGAGACCAGGCATAAGACCTCTCTTCTTCAACCAGAAAATAGATGCAAAGGAGCCAGAGAAAAATATGCCTTCCACGGCTGCAAATGCAACAACTCTTTCTCCAAAGGAAGCATTCGTGCTACTGATCCAGTTCAGCGCCCAGTCCGCCTTCCTTTTAACACAGGGCAAAGTTTCGATCGCATTGAACAGCCTTTCCCTAAAATGGAAACAAATAGTTTTGAGTAATGACTATGATCAGAGCTTATAGAGCAGTAATTTAACTAAGAAACTTTTTATGGTCAATCAGGACTGGTTAGTTTAAAACATTGGTCACCAAATGGTTTAAAGAAAGCAGTTTTCTTCATAAAAAAAAATATATATATACATACATACAGTCGGATCCCGATTTAAACCGACCGGAAATTTTATTCGTTAAAGCGGGGTCATTCGTAAAATCTGAGTTCAAAAAAATAATTGTTTTTTGTACATATGTGTTATTAAAAATTACTAGTTATAAACGACTATCTAAGATAGGAAAGGAATTTCCTGTTTGACTCATAGTCCACGTGACAAGCCCCCGGAAAATGACCGTGCAAGTGTAATGTCTTATTGACTCTGCCCACCTACCCACGCCGAATTTTGTTTTTCCCTGTTGCGGGCTTTTCTTTTGTTTGAGACGAATATGCACCTTTAGAATCTGCCAATTACAAAAAAATGCAATATTTTTCTGATCAAAATTAAGGAAAAATATTTTTTCCGGATGCTGAAATAATTCGTTAATTAGGGATTTTTGACTCTGTTTTTGCTGGGGTTGAANCCGATTTAACGAATTCATCAGAACCGGAAATTTTATTCGTTAAATCGGGGTCATTCGTAAAATCGGGGTTTTTGCTGGGGTTGGAAAAAAAAAATTCGTTAAATAGGGGTCCGACTGTATATATATATCATTTTGAAACTTCATTTTCTACTATTTACATAAATACTTTTATTTTAAATAAATGAAAAAATAGTAAATTTTCACATAAAAATCTTTTTAATCTATTTACGTATTATTGATCCTTTGTAAAAACATGTTTACAAATTAATATGATAATTTTAAAAAAAGTCATAATTTTCCATAAGTTCTTTTCTGTATTCTATGTTTCATAGGATACTTGAAAAATATTTTAAGGAAATGGCAGTAAATGAAAAATGTTTCATTTTTCAGGGTTTAATTTATATATATAATATAAATTAAATATATATTAATACTCCATATAATTGAACTATAAGATCAATTTATATGGTGTTAGATCTAACTGCAGCTTAATACTTAAACTTGTAGATACACAGAAATTTTTTATCTTATTACCAATATCAGATAGAAGATTAATATAGTGGTTTTGCTGTCCTATAGTAGTTATAGTTACAATTTCATCTTCGTACCCTGCAGTAATATTAAATCCCCTCAAAAAGAAAATAACTCTCAGATCCAGCAACAAAAAATAGGGGGAAAATTGGTTTCATGAAATTATTTATGAAACTAACGCTTATTTGCATCACATGGAGGAAAATTAACCATGGTAAGTTAAATCCAGAGAAATTTTACTAGTCTTGGAAATTGCATTTATTGAGCGATAATGTGTATAAAACAAGCACCACAATAAAAATTCTAGTTTAAAGTCGCTGATGGTCAATTATTCAGTCATGCATTGTTTCAATATTTTTTTATATAAATAGAAATATAGAAGGTTAATTTTGATTGTAAAAAATAAAAACTATCTCAAAAATATTTATTTAACAACTTTCGATTAAGCACTTCTCAGCTTTAACCTGTGTTTTAATTTATTACGAAATTAATCTTTAAATGCTTAAATTGGTAAGAGCATTAGAATAATCAAAATGTTATTTGTAAGAAAATTTATTCATATTCCGCTTGTAACTGCTGCCTTTTATAAAATGCTAAGCCTACAAAACAAACCAAAATAATAAAACATTGCATTAAATCATTTTCTGAAAACAAATTTAGTATGAGAATAATACACACATATATATACAATGACAGTATACATTACTTTAGCTACCAACTTTAAAAATAAAAACATTAACACAAAGGCTAAGCCAATCCCGGGTAATTGTGACACAAAATTTTATGTACAAAATCAATATCAATTTATATACCATACATGTTTCATATTTAACAAAATGTCTTTAATAAATATTTTTAATTTATAATCACGCTTTCATATAATTAATTTTTTATAAAAACTTACAAGAATAGAGATATTTGATTTTAAAAATGCCAAAATACAAATTGCGATATAGAATTTGTAAATTGGTTAAATACAAATCAAGATGCATAATCTTAAAATAAGGTGAATATGAACCAGGGGGAAAAATTGATGTTTGATATTAAAACTGTAAATACAAATTTTGATATGCTGATTGATATTGGGCTTTAAGAACACAAATAATAATAGGGACATAGGATCTTTAAATCGTGGAAATCTGATTCGTGATGAATGATTTCTATATTGCGTGAATATGAACCACAATGTACAACTTTGAAATCAGGTATATATAAAAATCTTTGATTTTGAAATCACATTAGTAAGAATTGTGATGCTAGCAGACTCCAATGCAATTCCAGGTAATTAAAATGGCCAAAACCTACCAAACCAGAAGAATTAAATGTACTTAAACAGCTCGTTAACAGGATTTAGAAAAAGTCCCAAAATTTAGTCTGGTTTTAAGTCTTTGATTTGAGGCAGTCTGTGAATTAATGGTCTTGAGATACGCAGAATGTTATATTCACTGAAAAGTCACATGACATGCTTCCAATTTTTAGACATGCCCTGAGTTGAAATAAGGAGTAAAAAGGTGTTATACAGGAACAACAGTCTCGCAATTTAACAATTTCTTTACAATAAATTATTAAATATTATTTTAAGTTTTAAAAATATGAAGTATAAATGCAATTTAATGTAAACAAGTTTTTTAGTTTTTACGATACTTTGCTACAATGTTTATGATAACATAAAAAGCAAGTACCCTAAGTTCAGTCTACAATCTGTAGGCAAAAGGAGTCAAATTTAAAACACGTTAGTAGAAAAGAGATAAAAGTGCCTATTTTTTTTAAAAATAGATATTTAAATATTAAATACATGGGTTTGGCTTATAACAAGCTCAATTTTTGGACTTAATGTATAAGCAAAGAGAACAGGAAATTTACCTTTCAGTTTTGTCTTTAACATATGTATCAATTAACAAGCTGTACATTTCTGAATGGACATTCTCAATAGCTATTTGAAAACCATAAAAACATCTGGCCTCTGTAACCTGAACTTCTTGACTGAATCGTTCCACCTGGATAAAGATAGTACACACCACTAAGTCAAGTATAAACAATTTATAAGAACTTTAATTTACGTATCCAAAATAGATTGCAATAGAACTCTTAAAGAATTTTAAGTAAGAATTCGATTACTTGACCGAATATAACAAACAGCTTTAGGTGAGTTTTAAGAAATTGTTTAGTTTTTTTTCAGAAGCTCATACAAGGTTATCACTGTTGGAATATTTTAAGAGAAATCTACACACAGGTTTCATAGTGGAGTAGGACATTTTTCAAAAATATCAAAGGATCCACTCACTTTCAAAAATTTTTTATTAATTTTTGTATCAGGTTTTCTATAAATTTGTGAAAAATAAAAAAGTTTTGAATCTGATTATTATTTTTTTGCAGTAAGCAGATATAAATCAGTTTTTCTTCTAGAAAATAAAGCAAAGAAAAGAATTATAATAATTCCATTTTTCATTTTCCAGGGAAGAAAAAAACCCTTCTAAGATAAAATTGCTTTTATCTGTAATTATTGTTTTAAAATAAAAATTTTAAAAAAAACTAGGTCTTCATTTCTTCAGAAAAAGATTGCTTTCTTTTGCACCCTTCAACATTAAGAAAGAAGTGAATAATAGTTTCTTTTTTCCTTTCTTAAAAGTAGTGTTTTTTCTTCTTTAGCCTACTTAAGAAGTCTGCAATTAACTAGAAACTTAATGCAAATTTAAATAAAATGAAAATATCCTAAATCATTTCAGTATATTTTTTAAAATTATAATTACATCATCTAGCTAGTTTTATATGTGTAATGTTATGCAATAACTGAATTTTAGGCTCAACAATTTTTAAATTATCCTCATACTATTTTATGAGTATATTTCAGATGGTAAATCTATCTCATTATCAAAGTAAGATAAAAACTTTAAAGGCAATCTAAAAAGCAATCACTGAGCATATATTATTTTCAAACAAAGTAAACTAGCAAAAAATGAATAATCAATAAACTTGAAAGCCTTTTTCTATAATTTGAACTGAAAATTATGAGAAAATGATCCTTTAAAGATTCCTTTTTTTTAGGATTTTTTTCTGTTTTCTTAAAAAAAGGGTATTTAAAAATAGTTTTAAAATCACTTAAAAAAATTTTTTTTATATCCCCTTTAAAAAGAGTTACTCTAAAATTTTAACCAGTTGAGAATAATCCTATCAAAGTAAATATTTCTAATAGTAATTAGAATTAAACCTATAAATACAGATAATTTTACCAGTATCTAATTACTTAAAAACAATGAATATTTCTTTTTCTTTCAAAATGGAATCTGAATAAAAAGGCAGCGTTTTAAAGGGATGACAGATTACTTTTACAAAGCAGGGCAGACTGTCCTTTAAAACACTTTAGTAAAACAATGGATGGCTGATTTATTTATCTTTACAAGCAAATTATAATACTTAAACAATTAAATATTATATATTTAGGCTTCTATACTTAGTATATTTACTGATTTCCAACAATATTTAAATTTAAAAATGGAAAATTTTGAAAAATTGAATTTTAAAAAAGACTACTTAAATAATAAATTAAAAAACTAGGTTTGGTCTTTAATTTTTTTCCTTCAAAATATTGGTTTATATATTTTAAAAATTTCCTTACACTAGATACAATTAAATTCGAAAATACCTTTATAAGTAACACCTTTATAAGTTTTAAAAATTAAAATATCAGCTATTTTCAACAACATATCGATTAGGCATGCATAAATGCAGCATGAAAAAACAAAAAAATAGAAGCAAAGCTTACCAAGTTTTCATTTACAATTCCATCGCTTGCAGCAAAAAAGGCTAAGATATGAGAGATGAAGTGTTTTTCTTCTGATTTCAGTTTTTCCCAGTCAGAAAAGTCTTTTGATAGATCTACTTCTTCAACGGTCCAGAAAGACGCCTCTGCTTTCTTATACATCTGCCATATATCTTGATATTCAATGGGAAAGATAACAAACCTACGGGGATTCTCCCTAAGAAGAGGCTCATCTGTAGTCTTTGACACAGATTTGATGGCTTTCTTTTTTTCAGATTTTAACACAGTTTCATGCTGAAAACAATTGATCAAATGAGAAAATACATCAAAATGATAAAGGATTTCTGAGATAAGGTATTATGTCTCCTATGTTACCTTAGATTTTTACTATAAATAATAATTTTAGTTTATTATTTGATTAAAAATTATAATCAATTAGAAATATAAATGATACTTTTTAACAGGAGACCTAAATTCCTTTTTTGTGTTATAAGTGACCAAGACTTGGGCAATAAATTTTGTGCATAATTATAATTCACACCTATAAAGAAACAAAAGAACTAAATTTTTTAATAATTTAAAACAGAATTTTTGAACTAATAATAGGTTGTATTCTTTCAAAAGACCATTAAGTTTTCATTTAGCAATTTTGCCATAATCAATTTTATTCATAATAGATTCTTAATTTTGTGCTCTTTTAGATAATGTCACTAACATTTGCGGAGAAATGCAGACACAGAGAAAGAAGAAAACTTATGAAAAATAAAGAAGAATGTAAGAGAACACAAGATTAGCAAAAAAAAGTGGCGTACAAAGAAAGCAAAACAGTTCACAACTTTTACCCTCAAATGTAAAAAAAAAAAAAAAAACTGGCAGTGGAAAGTAAAAAAATGAGGCGGGATAGAACAAAACTTTATAAGGAGAACACATATCTTAAAATAGAAAATAAAAAAATTAAGCAAAGGGTAGAAAAATGAAGAAATAGTGTGTATAGAGCAAAGATTACAAATGGATATGAGAAATGTAATTTAACTCCATGCTCTAAAACTAAACAATTTATGATTAAAAAAAAATCTGGTATTAATATATCTTAAATACAAGGTTTATACACAACTTTTTTTAAATACAATGCTCTAACCAGGGTTCATACAGAGATCAGAAGAAGAAATGCAAGGAGTCCAAAATTTTAAGGACTTATCAACAATTTAAAAGCTTTGTACAAAAGATAACTAGACAATTTTTTTTAAATTAAAAAGCAGTTATTACAAGGCACTTGCAAAAATGTATAGTCTGCATATTTTTTCTAGCCCTTTTGCAATAAATTTTGACTTTGTCAAACTTCATCAAGAAAAATAAAGTTATCACTTTTACACATAAATATATTTTCTAGTTTCAAATATTTTAATAAATCTTGTTAAAGTACAGATGCTAAAGATTAACATAAAAACCTACCATTCTTATATTTTTAAATATGAATACATAAGAAAATATAAGGCATTTTATACAAAAAAAATCATGGTAAATTATTAAGTTTGCTTGTAACACATAAAATTAAAATTATTTGCTGCTATTTTTTTCTTCTAACTCTTGCAATTCATTTTTTTTTCTTTTTACGTTTCTCTTAAACTATTAGATTTTGACAGCTAAGTCATATCATTTAGTTTCCCTGCTTGGACAGCAAATTCATCAGCAGAATTAGTAAGTTCATGTATGCAACACAATAACCTAAGGAGTTTCTAAGGACTAATTTGGAAATCTATGTAGTTCCAAGTACTCCTTGGAGACTTTTTAATTTCCAAGGAGTTTCTAAGGAGTATTAGGAGTCTGAACGCACCCCGGCTCTAACACATTGCATGTCACCACAGTGCAAAAGTTAACAAGAAAGAAAAAAAATTTAAACATTGTGACAAATTAGGTGATAAAAAAGTACAGGTTGATGAGAAAAATGGTTTCCGAAGCTTTAGGTTTGAAATCCGAAATTCGCAAAGCTATTCAGCAGAAATATATATATATATTCAATAAAAATTAAAATTATTGAAGACTTTTAAATAAGAGATGACATCAGTAGAGCAACTGCAGGAAAGAAGGAAACTGTAACAAAGAATTCAGAAAGGATACCTATTAGATACAATGAAAAACTAACTAACTAACTAATAACATTAACCATCTAACTGAAGCAACAGTATGCAGCCCGGATTCAAAAGATTGGATGTATAAAGAATGTCCATCTTGTTATGGAAGGAATATTCCTTTTAATGCAATAAACACAGATGCACAAGCCGAATGGAACTATAAAAATGAGCTTCATGAAAAAGAGGGAAAGAAATTAAGTGTAAAAAAGGTTTAAAAATGATTAGGACTCAGTTTCTATACTAGCAAGTAAATTCGTAAGAGAATTAAACCTCTTCAAAAAACATGCATTCAACATTCAGAAACCATATGAAGCACACAGATCTCGAACCTAATGAAGCTGTTACACATGTAAATTCTGGCGAGAACTAAAACTTCCAAAATATTATGAAAAATAAAATATATAACACGTTTAAAATTGTCTAATTGTTGGTCCTAAATAAGGATGTCCACTTTGTTACTTTAGTGTCCTCTGTGTTCAAGTATTCTTTACCTCAAATAAGATTAAAAACATTTTCATTAAATGGATAAAAAGAAATATTTAATGTCTTACAGGTGACAGTAATGAATTTTATAAATTTCTCAAATCAATGTATTTTTCATTAAACAACGAAAACTTTAAAGTTGTCAAAATATTAAAGTAGTAACATGGGGGACATAATTTGCTTATTTAATGACAGATAAACATGCATAAATAAAAATTTATCTGCAGAAAAGAATATTCTAAGTGTTACCACAGCAAAATTGTTTATTTTTCCATTTAAAAATGGGATGATGATTTAAAATTTGGTAACACAGGAGATATTTTTCAGTCTTAGTTTTAAAGTCTAGTGATTAACAATCTATTTTTCAGGAATGGCCTTTATGTATATAGATGGTTACAATGCAGTATTATATAAGCAATCGATAGTTCTTTCTAACTAACCAAGAATATGATCTATTGTTAACATTTATTGCTCAGGAGTTTACTAATTTCTCAGTTATAAAAACTCAAAAGTAAATGCGTATTTCATTTTCTAAGTATGCTAAAGTATTGCATCACATAGTTAAGACTACCTAAGTCTTTTAACTTAATAAAAAGATATGGATAGAATGTAACATAATAAGTTCGTTACCTTATTTTCTTTGTCTTGATTATCAGTTATTTTCAAATTCACGTAGTTTTCCTGTAGTACTGAATTCATATTTCGAGTTTCAAATTTTTCAAAAATAATTTACCAATTCGTTAAGGAGTAAAATTAAATTTTTTAATACGTTTAAGTTAAAAAGAGTTAACAGCCGATATTACGCGCCTTCAACTAACGAGACAGAGATGAATGACACTGTTAAAAATTCTGGCGCGATTATACCTAAAATGCGCAATCTATTCCCGCTAAAATTTCTACCAATCATGAAAAGTTTCGAAATATTGCCATATTTTGAAAACAATCATAAATGACCTCTACTTCCTTTTTTTCAATAATGCTTTTAATTTAGTAAATGATTGCATAATAATTGGCATCTTATAATAAAGTATAAAAAAAATTTAGTTTCATTTCGTATGAGGTTTACGATTTTTAAAGACCATTTTCGCTTTATGCAATTCACGATCTTAGATCACGGTCTAGAGAAAATAATAATCTGATTGGTGAGTCTTTTACGTATAGTGCGTGAATTGTATAAAGTGTGAACATTATTTAACAGAGTGCAAAATGCATTTTCACTGCATTCATTGGTGAACTGGAAGTGGTAACGGAATAAAGTGAGTTACAGGTTAGGTAAATCGATTGCAACCGTAATTCATGATCTCCGAATGTCATCGCCAAACCATTGAAAGAAAATTATGTCCCCAAAATTGCAGTGTTGTGAGCATAGATATAAGGGCACCCCTATATTAATCCCTGGTTGTGAGATAACAAAAATTATGTCAGGGTTTCTCGATGAAATTTGGATTGAAATTATCTTCGTTCCCAGCAGATCACCAAAGTCAAGCATCACTGGCTGCGATCTGTGTGCGGGTGGGTGACCCACTTGGATCAGACTGCGTAGGGACCGAGGGTGTGCGGTATTGGTCGTCGTTAAACTGTGCTACCGTAAAGTGCTCGACTTCGAGTGCAGTTCGTTGGGCTACCGAAGCGGGGGTGCCATCCCCTCTGCAGAGGATCAAAATTGTGATGGCATGTCTTCGGATCATCCTCAGGGATGTTTCCCAGACAGTCGCCAATAGCCCATTGGGCAGCTCTGGTGTGACGTAAATGAACTACAACAACAACAACAACATTAACAACAAAACTTCTTAGTTCATAAGAAATAATTTTTGTTATTTGGTCAGTTAGTATTATTTCTACCTGAGTATTATTGCTCATTAGTATTATTGCTACCTGATTCGTTTCTGCTCAATCTCTTAAGATATAGTAAAATATGGTTAGATAATTGTAAAATCTTTAGCATGTAATGTATAAGTAGTAAATAAATTAAATAGTGATTTTTATTTGAATTTCTACATAGTTTTCCCATCTGAAAGTTAACACATTCTATAAGTAAATATAGATTCTGTTAATCTCCAGAGAACCAAGCTCAGCAAAATTTTTTGACAGAGTTTTTGACTATTCTCAAAAACCAAAAATTTTGGTGTTAGGATAATTATTGCTATTATAAATAAGAAGTATCTATAAATAAACATACAAATAATATTACAATTGATCAATCAATTATGTTTGATTATTTTGACATTGAACTCTCTTTTTATTTCGACAATTGCAAAACTCATATTTTGGTTGAGAAATATCAAATAATTACAAATAAAAACATGCAAAATTGCAATTTATCCAATTCATTAATTTCTTAAATTATTGAAAAAAAAATCAGCTAATAAAAAAAAAACCACTCAATAATCATCTGATTCATTATACGCAAAATAAATTTTCATTTATTCTCAATTTAACTTCTAAAAAGGAAGGCTTTTGGGGGAAAGGAAGCTTCCTTTCCCAAACTTACGATTACAGATAGTTTTGAAGACCTCTTTACTCCTAGTTAATTTTTCACTTTAGTATGAATAAGACCGAAATTCGGAACTATTATAATAAAATAATATGTAACTAGGAAATTCATTCGAATAACTACCTTAAATATTAATGGTAATTTAATTAAATTGTTGAATTGGTTGATTAAAAAAATTATTAAATCATTTAAGCAAACGTTTCATATTTTTTGTAAATTATAATTAGTTCACTGATTAGGGAATATATTACAGTCAATAATCTGCTTCACTGAAAATAATCAATAACAAATATTGAGGAAAAAACAATTATAAGTTGAGATTAGACAATTAATGGAAAACACTTTAATTTTATTTAATCTAAAAAATTTGCCTAAATTATAATATTAAAGAATTAAAATCAATATTTAGATTACTAATAATTAACAATTCATAGTTATGTGCAATATAAATCGAATAATTAAAAAAATGGATCTAAAGTACACTGGTGGACAAAATTAAGAGATGGAAAGCATTTTCGCACATTCATTCGCACATGCAACATATCCGCACACCGCTCCATGTGTTTGACAATGGTTCGGCGAATGCCCAGAGGTACAGGCAGGAGGTTCTAGAGCACTATGTGCGTCCTTTCAGGGGCGCTGTTGGCCCTGAGTTTATTTTTATGGGCGACAATGCGCGACCACAAAGGGCTCTCATGGTTGATGAGTATCTGGAAAGCGAGGATATTCAAAGAATGGATTGGCCAGCCAAATCCCCTGACCTGAATCCTATTTAACATGCTTGGGATGCTCTTGGGAGAGCTATTGCGATGCTTCAACCTCCCCCCAGAACCATTCTGGAGTTAAAAATTGCTCTAGTGAAAGAATTGGAGGGTCTTCCAAAAGTCCTCCTTAGCTCCCTTATTAACAGCATGCATACTCGTTGTGCATGCTGTCTATCTGTCAGGGGTGACCATACAGCATACTAGAAACAACACACACTGTACAAACCTCACTTTTATTGTCATCTTTTATCTTTAAGTTCAGACTACATTGGATTTATTGGCAATAGGTCTTGCCAGTGAATGACGCTTTCATTTTTGTTTTGCACACTTTATTATCATGGAATAAGCCATATCCATACCAAATTTCATTTATTTATATTCAGTATTTTTTGAGATATTTGGGAAAATGTCTTCCATCTCTTAATTTTGTCCACCAGTGTATTAAGAGAAACACATTTTTAGAAGAACCAATTGATGTTTACAATAATATTTGGCTGCATTCTGTATCTGTGACATATAATATAAATCATATTTACAGTAAAAATAAATGTCTCCAATGACAAGAGAAAAAAAATTGGTCCAGGTTTTTTGATTGTTTTTATTAGATTTTGACAGTTTTTGATACTTTTCGACTGGTTTTTATGGTACCTAACCCTGCAGAGAACACTATTGATAGTTCTTTGTATAATTTAGGTAATGGGCATTGCTTCCAGTTATTTATTTCATTACAATAATAATTTTAATCCTTAGAAAAATTTATAAAACTGTTCTACATTTTATATAAATATCTTTTCGTTTTATCTCAGTGTAAAGTTGTCTAGGAATATTGTCCTACAGACTTGTCTTTCATAGCTTTTCTGTTGGATTTAATGTCCCTGGACTTGTTGATCAACTTATAAGGAAAATAAAAATGACTCCTTTCCCTATAGGGAAAGGAGTCAGCCATCAGCACAATGCCCTCACATTAAAAGCATTTTGTAAGTAAATTTTTTTAAATTAATAATTCAGGAAGTGATCGCTAAATAATGTATAATTTATTACAAATTATTTATTTTGGTTAAGCACATTATTCGACCCTTCAATTTAATTTCAGAACAAAATTAAGTTTCCTAGTTTGAGAATAGCTTTAAAGTTGAGAAATAATAGCTTCCTTTTTCTCTGAAATTACCAATTTTACTTGACTTTGTCTTGGCGAATGTCTATATATCTGAAGGGGCGAAGCACATTATGCATAAATTTCAGAGGAATAATTTCTACCCATAAATTTCAGTGGAATATTAAGTTCTCTATTAAAAAAAAGCCATAAAAATTTTGAAAAAAAAACTTTTTTTCCTCTGAAATATCCAATTTTACTTGACTTGAGAGTATCTAAATTTCAGGGTGGGCAAAACAATGTGTTTGCCCCCTCACTTAAATTTCAGAGGGGGTGGCTGCCCCTCGGTTGGCACGCCGCTGGCAATGCTCTAATTATTTGGTGTAACGAAGTCGTAATAGTCTTTCATTTACGCCACACTAGAGCTGTGCAATGAGCTATCAGCGACGGTCTGAGAAACATCTCTGAGGATAAGCCGATGTCATTTCAATTTTGATCCTCTGCAGAGGGGATGGTTTTACCACTTTGATTGTCTGACGATCTGCACGCAAAGTCAGGTAGAACTATTTAACCAAGACCGTTACCGCACAACCTTCACAGGCTGATCGAAGTGGTAACCCACACGCTCATTGACCGTTTCCATTGATACATTATTTATCAAGATGTCAATAGGCAGTCGTTTACTTGATTAAAAGGTAGCATTCTACGAATATGGATGGCTAAAATAATAATTCATATATTAAAGAATTATAATAGCCTTATCAAATATGTAAGCTTTCATTCTAGCTGTTTTTAGTATATGAATAACTATTTCCACCGACGAAATAATGAGCAACGCAATTTGTAAATTAAGCAAGATTTCGATGAATTCATCACTTTTTGCTTCTTCCAGAATTCGATAATTATCTCAAATAAAGCAGTTAGAATAATAAAAAAAAAAAGGTTAATATAGATTCTTTTCGACATCATTATATCTTGGATTTTTCGTTCATTGCTTTAGATCAGCAAGAAGATTCTTTTAAGTATTTTCATTTTTAACTTTTTAATGCATATTCTACTTCTGATACACTTTTGTCCAAACTACATTTCTGATACATTCCTAAAAGTTTATTTTTATAAGCATATTTTTCAAAGTTATTAAAAATATTAAAGTACTATATTTTAAGTCCGAAAAATTTGTTTCAACACATTGCTTAGCAAGTGTTAAAAACATATATATTTTTTTGCTTAAAATATCTGTAGACAAATGTTGACTTCCAGAGAAAGGCTTTATTAAAAACAATTGAGTAAATAGTGAAGTGTCATGTTATAAAAATGAATAATAATTAGGTAGTTTACGATAAAGTTTTTATAATTCGATCTGAACATCATTTTCAGACATTGGGCGATCATGTCTGAAAGTGTTTATGGGTTACACTAGTGCGAAAGGAAGGGGATAAGCCTAAATCAGTGGTCAGAAGTAGCCGCGATGGCTCAGGGGATAGAGCGTTCGCCTTTCAATGCGGCGAACTGGGTTCGAATCCCAGTCCATACGAATTCTGCATCCAGCTTGCACCGACCACAGTGCAGAAGTGAAATATCCTCAGTGGTAGACGGATCATGGGTTATAGTCCCCTTGCCATCAGGCTAACCGAGGGAGGTTCTCGCGGTCTTCCTCTCCGTGTAACGCAAATGCGGGTTAGTTCCATCAAAAAGTCCTCCACGAAGGCAAATTTCTCCTAATACTCGATCCAAGAGTTCCCTTGTCTTCTGGATAAGGTTCAAAATGACAAGGCTTCTTAGTTGAACATTAGTAGTCGTAAACCCATAAAATTGGTTCGGCTGTTCAACGACGGTTATAAAATAAAATAAAAAGTAGTGAAACTAAGGCCGGGATAGCCTGGTTGGTAGGGCACTCGGCCCATGTCCAAGAGTTCTTGGGTTCCATACCCGCCGGCCGAAGACTCCCCGTGTGGTAAATGGTAATTGATGCACTTTAAATCTGTCGAGACGCAAAGTCCTCCATGTTCTGTTCTCATAACAAATCAATACCTCTTGAGGTGCTGATCCAGGAGTTTCCTTGCCTTCAGGATTGGCTCAAAATTACAAGGCTACGGAGTTGAACATTAGTCGACGTAAACCTGAGATCGGCTCGACGGTCCAAGGACGGATATATATATATATATATACATATATATATATATACACTGGTTATCATAAATTAAGGAAAATTCACAAAAATCGCGATAACTCAAGAAATTACACATGGAATTTTATGAAACTTACCCACAATATACAACACATAGTAAGGTATTAAACAACATAAAAAGAAATTATCAGACATTAATAGTAGTATAGAAATTAGCACATGTATAAAATAAACANCCACTAATTTGCATATTGCAATTTTACTCAGCTACTCTTAGTGGACAACATATGCAAATTTTGCACGGTTTGGCTTACTTTTGAAAGAGTTATCGCTATTTTTGTGATTTTTCCTTAATTTATGATAACCAGTGTATATATATATATATATATATCAAGAAGTTAAACTAAATATCCTCAGTGTGTTAGATGAATAGTGTAGAGGGCTCTTGCTGTCCGCTAACCGTGGGATGTTCTCGTGGTCTTCCTCTCCATATAACGCAAATGCGGATTTGTTTCATCAAAGATACTTGATCCAGGAGTTCCCTTGTCTTCTGTAATGGGTTCATAATTACAAGGCTACAGATTTGAAAACTAGTAGTAGTAAACCGAAAAATTAGGTCGCCTGCTCAACGACGGTAATAAAATAAGAAAAGTAATGAAACTACCGTAGTCGCTACTTTTTTGTAGTTTTAGTGTGTGAGTTAGCTTAGTAAAGAAACAGGGTACTAACACAATTAATTTTACTTTGATGAATACAAATCTTCGCGGGTCTGTCAATAAACGCAATTTAAAATTTTTATATGACTGTGTCTTAACAAAAATTGAGTATTTAGAGTCATGTATAACTAATATTTAAGTTAGTCATTACGAATAATAAATAATTTATCTCATTGATCACACTTTCACATGAGAAAGTATACTCCTGAAACATTGCTTTTATTTCAAAGGGTATTTTCGATAACCTTAATTTGTCTTCGCGAAATCGCAAGTGTTTGATAATTTTTAAATAAAATATTCGCTGTCAAGAAGAGCATAAAGAGGTGACACGTTCGAAAAGAATTACAAAATGGCTAATGTAAACATGAATAAATATTTCTAAATAATTCTTCATGTTTAATATAAGCCAATTTTTTATTCAAAATCATTTTGAACATCAAAGAACGGTTTCTTAAAGCAGTGACTACATATCGAAAGTAGTTTGTAGTCAACTACATTTTTGACAAAGTTGTTGTAGTAAACTACAAAAATAATGTAGTTTTTCCGACCACTGGTCTCGATATCTAAATAAGGTTTTTTTGTTTCAATGTGTGCTTTTAGACTAAATCGAAAGACCACACATTTATAGGACTAATTTATTGTTATCATGAGTTGTTTTTCATCCTTTCCCTTTATTGCCCAGTTCACATTTTAATCTATTTATTTATTAACGATACTGTAAAAAACAGCATCACTCTCACTCATAAATATCGATAATAATTTTCACGAATTTTTCTTCCTTTATGAATGTCTTCTAGACAAATGATTGAAGAATAACGGTTTTTATTATTGGTTAATGCATTGTGTATGTTATTAAAGTTTGCATGCGTTTTTGAGTAAAATATTTCACTCTAGACGTTTAAAATTTTGTTACAAGCCATTTTTCACCTGTATTATTGCTATACTTTTTTTTTAATATTCGTCGTTGAACAGTCGACTCGATTTTTGGGTTTACGACTCCCGATATTCAACTCCGTATCCTTGTAATTTCGAACCAATCTAGAAGAAACTCGGAGATCCCCTAGAGGTATTGATTTGTTATGGGAACATGGAGGACAGATTTAACGACTCGACAGATTTAACGTGCATCAGTCAGCATTTACTAGACGGGGAGTGTTCGGCAGGCCGGGATCGAACCCACGAACTTTTGGACATGGGCTCACTGCCCTACCAACCCTACCCCCATATTGCTGTACTTATAGTATTATTTTTACAATGATCTTTTTTTTCCTAAGGAATTGTAAGTAATATTTTAAAACATAACCACTTGAAATAAATGCAGCTGAAAATGTAATTGAAATAAGTATAAGATATTGATTTACATTTGACTATTCTTTAGCAAAAGCGTTAGATTAGAATTAAATGCTGTTGCTTATCCTCTTAATCTGACATTTATCAGATGAGCCAGGATGTCGCTGACTTCAAGAAGCTACGAAAAGGGTATCTGATGTAAGATCCACCCTAGAAAGTCCAAAGCAAACCAGAATATGTTCCGGCAAAGATGGTTGAACACAGCATTTTTTTATCTTTCTGTCTTCCTCAAAAACACTTAAGATGGCCACTTGGCAAATCTGGCCTAAGCAATCTGAAAGAATGAATGAGCAGCTTCTGCTGGTTAAAAAAACTGGAGCACCCCCGGCAAAGTTCGAAGTCTGTCTTAGCTCCTGCTGATTTTAGCTGGATAAAACGGGATAGCCTTCACGTCTAGGGTGGCCCTACCAAACCAGGAGAAAATCTCCAGACTAACTTCACCCTTCCCATCCAGGAACAACCTCCCGCAAAGATGAGGCAACCTGCAGAACTTGGGAAAGTTGAGTTAAATATTCAACATAAACGATTTTAATTTAATTTTTTTTTTTTCAAAACGAGTAATAAAAAACGTTATTTGGCAAAACCTGCTCTAAACAAGCTGCCATCATAACGCTTAAGGGCTAGCTTTGGGGCGGTAGTACAATAGTTAAAAAAAGTTTTTTTTTGTCGACATTTTAGATAAAACCTTAATAGTGCATTGCTGTGGGTAAATTACAAAGAATAAAGATAGAGCCGTGATGGCTCAGGGGATAAAGCGTTCGCCTTCCAATGAGGTGAACCGGGTTCGAATTCCACCGATGGCTGGTCGATACGAATCCGCATCCGGCTTGCACCGACCACAGTGCTGACGTGAAATATCCTCAGTGGTAAACGGATCATGGGTTAGAGTCCCCATGCCGTCAGGCTAACCGTGGGAGGTACTCGTGGTCTTCCTCTCTATGTAACGCAAATGCGAGTTAGTTCCATCAAAAAGTCTTCCACGAAGGCAAATTTCTGCCAATAATTGATCCAGGAGGTTCCTTGTCTTCTGGATTGGGTTCAAAATGACAAGGCAACGGAGTTGATCATTAGAAGTCGTAAGCCCAAAAATTGGGTTGGCTGTTCAACGACGATCATAAAATAAAATAAAAACAAAAAGTAGGTTTAAATATTTTATTAAAACCACCACCATGAAAACTTTGATTAGACATTTCCTTATTTTAAATAATAACATCACATATAAATATGTATCGATTCAACATGAAATATATATAAACATCAACATTTCAATTCATTACAAAATGTAGAAAGATTACACATATTTTTAACACGCTATGTTCATAGTATTTTGTAGTCCATAAACTAATAATGCGACAAAATGGTTACCCTTTTCTATTCTAATGTTCTGAAAAGCAACGAGTTTCTTAGATTAAAACCGTAAGCATTTCAACAAATCATGTTTTTATGAATGAAAATAATGGTTATAAATACAGAAAAAAAATTACATTTAATAATAAAAGATTAATTAATTCAATTCTAATGTGAACTAATTTTAATCGTCAAGTAAGAGATTTTTCATCCTCGAGACTAAGGCTGTTAACAGGAAGACAAGAAGAAAAAAATGTGGTTGCACCTTAACACAAGATCTTATTAAAAATATCACAAAATTTCTCGAGTTTGGTATCATTCGTTTCAGATGGGAAAAATACATTCGTCGTTTTTACACTCACGAGAAATTTCAAAATTTTAGCCCATAAAATACATTCTCAATCTTTTTTTTCCCGATCGCATATTAATGAAAACATATGAAGACTGAGGGAGATAAACGGTCACTTTTTCTGAAAGAAGATTGGAACACCATTAGTTGCTTTTTGAGGATTACTAAGTTTTGACAAATCAATAACAGTTCTCTCTAAGAGTTATTACACAGTGATAATGGGCCGTGCTAAAAAGCTCTTTCAGTTCGCTCGTTAAATTACTTTTTTTCTCCGTATAAACTTTTATGGACCTAAGCCGATTTTCCACCGGAGATTTCATATAGATTTAAAAACCATCGACAAAAATTCCCTAAACAAAATTATATCTATCTTTTATCGATCTGAAGAAATATGAACAAAGTAGTATTAGAAATTAATTTAAAGAAAATATTAAGCATTGCTGATGTAAATGCAGTTTAAATCCTGCAATCTGATTGAGGGCTCAGGAATAAAGAAAAAAGCTTCAGAGCAATAAAATAAGTTTTTTTTTTTTCTTCCAGTAAAGAGAGATTGCATCTGGAATTTATAAGACACTTACAGTAGAATGAGTTAAAAAAAAGAAATGGCGCTCGTAATGCAACAATATATCGAATCTTTAGGTGAAAAAGAAATATCTATTGTAATTTTTTTTCCGATCGCTGATGCGTCTTATACACATGTCTTTTCTCAGCAAATGCAGGAAATTCTGTCCCTTGCTTTATTTATAATAACAATGGAAAATTTTAAAATTAATGAAAATGGACTGTGGACCTTAACGAAATTTAAAGAAAAGTAAATTTCGAAATATATATTTCATTTATTGTTCAGAACTTGTTAACATATGTGACATATCATATCTGTGGACAGTCACTCATCACTATTCCCCAGTCTCACAATTAATTAATAAAAAAAAACAAAAAAATTTAAATGATCTCAATAAAAAACTCTTTCGATTGAATACGTATAACTACTGGATTTAAAACAAAAAATTATATTATAAAATTTCAAATTGAAAGCCAGAGCCATTTGTCACGTCTGTGGACAAGAACAAAAATGCTAATTCCTTCAAAAGGCAATAATATATACGTTTTCTTTTTACGAACCCTTTCTTTGAAAGAAAAGTGTGCATTTAACTTTAAGACTTTTTTCCATTTGTATTTTGTCAGAGAAATATGCCAAAAGATATCTCTAAACGAATATTTAAATGGTTTTCGGAAGACGGTAATTTCAAGCTCGAGATTTTTTGTACAGCGTGATTTGACAACAATCGCGTATAGTAAATTTTTTTTTATAGAAAAAACGAAATCTTCTTGACCACTATTCAATCCTTTCAAAATCGTACGACAATGTAAAATACACACAACAAAAAAGATCCGAGGAGATACAGAAATCTAAAAACTATTTTATTAAAACTAAAAACATACTATCGTTTAAGAAATTAAAAAACAAACCGTCTTTATTTATTTATTGTAATTCTTCACTCGATAATTTCAAACGAAAAATATTGAGGCAGTTAAAAAAATATTACATTTACCGACATAAATGTTCTGAGAATGGAATTATAGAGTAATGTAGTAGTCAATTTTTTTTAAATTTTATCGGCAGCAGTGAATAAGCACTACAATGACGGTTAATTTTCAATGTTCCCGTGTATAATACTAGTTTTGAGTCCGACCCAGAAGACGTAGGATTTCTTGAGCTAAATAACGAATCAAACTTGACTTTGTAGAGATTCGAGAATCTCTTACGGTTAGCTCAACAGAAGGGAAATTCTAATCTACAGCAGCGGATATTTTATCACATTAATGTAATTGAAGTGATTCGGATTACAGCACATGCTAAATAACCAGGAATCGAACATGATTAGCGATGATCAAAAGCAAGTTTCCCTTCCTTTTTGACCTTCAAAGACATGATTCTGAAACTGGAGGATCTATTTATAAAAATATTTGTTTTCAAGAATTCAATGTCAGCAATTAATACTTAATATTTGATGTATTGCAATACTTAATTATTTTATTATAATAAATGCTTTAATATTTGATTGAATTAAGGTACTAAGTAAATACCGAGCATGTACCAAAAAATTCCACGGATAAAAAAAAAAAATTAAAAAAGAATATTCTCATATTAAATTTTATGTTGCAATATATTTGGCGCATAAATTATATTTTGAAATTCATTTTGTAGCCAAACCATAGTGGTATACAATTATCATCTCAAACGAAAATATGACAAACAAAATCAGCAAAAAAGTTGTGATAGCCTTATTACGATCACTGGTTACCCATTGGGCAAAACAGCAGCGGTGGCCATAGCAACACACGAAATGGAGACGCATGCGCACTACTTACGTATTACTCTTGAACACAGTTGAAAATTGTGTAGACGCCGTCAACCAAGACCCATTTTGTCAATGGGTAAAGAAAAAAAAAATCTGTAGGACACATATAAATGTACTGTTTAGTTTTCGTCAAGTTTCACAGATGGTTACAAGAAATATAGATTGTCAATAGATGGGAGCTCCAAGCTGAAAAAATAATAATAACAATGCTTTCAAAATAACAACAATTTGTAGGAACAATGTGTGGAAAATTTAAGTGAACAGTTGCACGTGCAACTCAGTTAGAATGGTTTAACAAGCAGCAGAAAATATTTTTTCGAAAATTTTTCAGTCGTCAGAGCAATCTGTTGATGCGTTTTGTAACCAATTATGGAATTGTTCGATCATAAATTTTTGTGCAGACCGTAGCGAACAGTCAATTTTTATTTCTATCAATTTTTATTTCTTTAGGATGGCTCGTAAATAATGTTAATTCACCCATAAACACATAACTGATAGATCTTCACCTTAAATAAATTTCAACAGTTGCAGAATGATTCTCATAAATATTTTGAAACATTGAAATTGAATAAGTATAAAGATAGAATAATTAAACTAATTTAGTTCTAAACGGAAAAAAAATTTCCTTAAGGAAATGTGTCCCCTCCATGATAATTAAATATTATTCATGAAAATTTAACAAGTGAAACTTTTAGATGACACACTTGTAATTCACATTTGACATTATTTTCACCCACAAATACACAAGCTCATTATAATTTGTCACATCAATACGAATAAAATATTACACACAAGAAAACAACATTTCAGACAGGCACATATACTATAAAAGCAGTCCATTACTAGTTTAAAATAACAGTACAGTATACTTTCGATTATCCTTCCGGTGTGTGGATTAACGGAGTTAAGGTTCAAACTGAAAGTATAGCATGATACCTTTGTTTGCAAACTAAAATCTAATTTTACATAATAATAGGGGAGGGGCCCTTGACACAGAACTACCAGGAGCCCCCTGGTTGTTAATTTAAACTAAATTTATATGCTGCTTAATTATAAAGTGTTTTTAAACGATTTATACCTCAAATAAATTACGATATATTTGTAAATTTGAGCTTCTATTTATTTAAATTTTTGTTAACTCATAACTCTAATAGAGAAAATTCTTAAGGAAAAACACAAAAAAAAAAAAAAAAATTTGTAAAATTTAGGAAGTCCTCAGAAACTTTTGGGGCCCCAATGTTGAGGACCAATACTATCACACAATGCTGAAGATAATTCAGGCACTGTATACTATCACACAAAAAGCTGACTTAAAAGGATACATATTTAAAAAGCTTAAAAAAAAGAGTCTTAAGCCTTTATTTAAAAAATGACCAACTAGGCAAGATTTTACGAATTAGAACTTTTTTTTTAAAAATGATCATAAATTGAAAAGTTAGTTCACAATGCCTCTTTATTTAAAACAAATATGGCTTGACATTTAGAGCTATTTTTTTAATCAACATTGACGCTGGGGATAAATTAACCTTTAAAACCAAATTGAAAAAAAAGATTAATTAATCTTTCAATTTTCTTTGGATAGTTATAAAAATATCATGATTTGAGGTATGGTAGACAGCCTTAACCTTTTCACGTGGGCTCAAAAAGAGGACATCGAGGTCTTCTGAGAGCCTCTTTTTAAAACTGGGGGAGTGAAATATGACAGGGAACTGCTGGTCGTAGTATAGTTTATCTAAGCTAAGAAATCCTACCGCCACAAAATCTGAAACCGTCTGGTGCGATGGAAACAAGAATGGCGCCTTTTAGGGAGGGTAGCTTCATTCTATCACTAACACAAAAGACCGAAGAGATTCCCTTTCTCTCGCCGTCCCGAACCGAAACCACTCCAAAACAGTGACCTCGCACCCCTACTTGAAATAGCCATACCCCGTTACCATAGTCACGGCCACGGGTCCAGACGAATGTCAGGGGGAATTCTTATTTTAGACAAACTATAGCGGACGAGTGTTAAACAATTTTATTCTCCCACTGTTTTTTTTTCTTTTTTTTCCAACCGTTTCTGTTTGTAAACTCTTAGACCCCGGCAGTTGGAAATAATAGGAGGGTCACCGGAAGAGGTTTCCCGCGCTTTTGCATAATTCAGGGCTGAAAGCCTATAAAGACGGAAAAGAGCAAAATATGACAGGAAAGGAATTCCATTCTAGCATTCTTTTTCGAGCAACATTAAATTTCTGTAACTATCGAGAATTTTTTTTTTTAATAATTAAAGTATATGTATAAAACTGCTTCTTTTTTGAGAAAAAGTAGATATTGTTGAAGAAGAGAATAGATTTACTCCTCCCGAAAATAATTTAAAACTGAAAAAGTTTTACTACCGCTTTTCCTTTTTTCCGTCTCGTTTTCACCCAGGGCATAACTTGAGAAGCGCGCGGGAAATCTACATCGGTTGCTACATTAGATTCCGTTTAAAAATTAAAAGGAAAAAAAAAAGAGAGAAAATAAAAACGTTCCACATACCAATTTCAAAGGTGGAAAAAGATTTCTTCCCCCCATTCTTAGGCTGAAAGTATCACAAGCCCCTCAGAGGACCCAAACTACCGATGTGACAACTGTTGTCACAACCCAGGGGAAAAGGTTAAAGCTGGTAGCCAATTTGGCACACTTTCACAATAAACCGTACACTATTTTTTTTTAAAAACATATTCATTTAAAAAATAATACTGAAAAACAGATAAGTACATTTTTTAAAAAAATTATCTGAGACTTCCTTTCCCAATATTAACCTTTGGGTAATCGAAAGTATATTGTAAATGGCATATTGTAGAAAAACATGATCAACCCTCTACGTTTGCAGGTGCCGGAGAGTCTGGCATTTCGATGCTCTCGATGTCGGCCTCCCTGCAGCAGAGGAGGGTGGCAAGAATCCCTTTCCGCAATCGTGGATTGGACAGGAAGTAAATGAAAGGATTGAAGACTGTCGATGCTTTGGCAAATAAAGGCGGAATTAAAGTCAGAATGGGTGGGACGGTTTCTGGAGGGGCGAAGATAGTCCACAGGCATAGGACAGCGTATGGAGACCAGGCCAACACAAATGCGATGATCAGCACGAATGACATCTGCAATTATAAAACGGATATGAAAATTATAGCTGTTTAACAAGTATCGGAAAATAAAACAGTTTTCTGTAGATGCTCACAGAGAAGCCTTCATTTGCTATAATTAACAGCACCTGATATCGTTAGGTACTAAAATATTTGGCCAAAAACATCCAAACTAGCTGATGAAATAGTCAGCGGCGTAGTTATAATGCATGTTCGAGGGGGATTATAATGCATGGTGCTCGTTAAATCAATCAAGTCACAAAGTCCTCCATGTTCCTATAACAAATCAAAACCTCTGGGGGTATTGAATTGGATTTTGATCGTTCTTTGGTTCAGGTCAAAATTACGATCTGTGGATGAATGAATGAGTCCGCCCTATAAACGGGTGTAAGTATGAGTATGGAAAAAGTCAAATTCTTAGCCATAGATGGCACCACTGGAAAACAAGAACAATTGCACCCCCTCTGTCTTAATGACCGACAACAACAACAATAAACGCTTAAATTTCAAAAAAATGAATAGTGAAAAATTGTTTATATCTACAGCTGTACAGTAGTTCATTACTTACAGTACAATAGTTGATTAATCAAGTAATATACATAATTTCGGACGGGGTTTTGTCACCAAAATTCTCCCCCAAACTACGCCACTGGACATAGTTTGAATGGGAGCATTAACTCTGACAATGGATTCCCAACTCTATTTAGCCTATTCATTCAAACAACGAAAGGAGATGGGAGCTCAAAAATTATCTTCTCAGAGCCTCTATGAGGATTATCTATCAAAAGGTACCTCAACTGTTTTACGAGCTGGCAGCGGCCCCTATCCCATCCATCGTGTATTATTTATCGTTGTATAGGTAAAATGTACTCGTATTTGCTTACATTAAAACATTGTATCGCCAATCGTTCTGCATTTACTTGTGTTAGGTAGCCAAACACAATCGTGTCAACAAGAAAATATTTTGAGTTGAACATTAAAATTATAAATGAATAATAAATAAGTAACTTACACGACATAACAAAAAATTGCAGGTTTGTTCACGAAACTTATTCACACATTTGTTGGGATTCGCCCTTTCAGTAATTGACTAATTCGCTCATATACTAACTCGCTCTACGAATGATTCGCGTTAATTTTATAGCTTTTCTTAAACATCTCACTTTTCTCTCTAAACTAATATAGGTTCATGAGTCACTTTTCTCTCTGAAGTAATATAGGTTCCTTTATGATTAATTTTAGCATTTAAATCCATTCATACTATGGATCATTCCAAAATACATTAAAAAAAAGTTATCTCTATAGAGTACTAGATTGCCTGAACAGTTTAAGTGAAGTTCGTCAAATTCACTCATTTAATCCGACCTGAGGCCTAGCTCTAACGCTTATATTAACGTTAAAAAAATATTTTAAAATTGCCGTATCGTTTCAATTAAGAATCAAACGCAATTTATGTAATTTTTTCAAAGTTTCCGAATGCTTACACTTTCAAAATAAATTCTGGTTCAATTTAATTTATTAGAGAAATATTAACAGACAATTTATTTTTATTATTGAAGAATCAAGGCTTTCGGAAGACGGAATTTCGAAAACCTTGTAATGTTAATCACAATACAAATACCTAATAGTGCAATATAAAAAAGAAAAACTTACGGACGTTATGGACCTCTCATTACTCCATTGATCATGTATCACTCCTCTTTGTCGAGTGGCCGTATTCTTCCGTACACGGCGTGCGATGGCACAATAACAAACGGTGATGATAGTCAACGGAACCATGAAACCTAGGACGAAGTACACTAAGAGAAAGGACTTGTAGCTCGAGTCGTTGTGTTGCCAATCGATAGTGCAAGTTGTAATGCTCGGCTCCAGGCCATACCTAAAATATGGAGTGAGAATTCTACTTATTTCAATGAAGACCGTTTACATCCTTCTCAAGAACTAATTTTTTTATGACTTTATATGAGTCGTGGTGGTTCAAGGGATAAAGCGTTCGCCTTCCAGTGAGGTGAACCGGGTTCGAATCCCAGCCATGGCTGGTCGAAACGAATTCCGCACTCGCACCGATCACAGTGCTGACGTAAAATATCCTCAGTGGTAGTCGGATCATGGGTTAGAGTCCCCTTGCCGTCAGACTAACAGTGAGAGGTTTTTCTCTCCATGTAACTCAGTTGCCTGTTAGCTACATCAAAAAGTCGTACGCGAAGGCAAATTTCTCCCAATACTTGGTCCAGGAGTTCCATTGTCTTCTGGATTAGTTTCAAAATTGCAAGGCTACGGAGTTGAACATCAATAGTTGTAAACCCAAAAAATTGGGTCGGCTGTTCAACGACGGTTATAAAATAAAGTATTAAAAAACAAGATATTGAAAGTGTGGCTTTTCAGAATTGGTATAGAGGGCACTGGCTATCTAATAGTCACGTATAACTGTTGCCAGCAATAATGGAAATAGCATAAATCGAGGAAAAGAGCCATCTTTGTGTGATGACAGGGCCTTCTAAAATCAGAACGAAAAGAAATAGCATTTAGGAGTCGCAAATTAATATTTGAAGAGAAAATAAAAATACTATGAAATCTAATGAAGCAACGCAGGGGAAAGTGGAATTGAGAACATCAAAACCTGTTTTATTGCAGGAGGAAATTGTCTTTTTCTTCTTTTAAAAAAACATGCACGTTTCAGATGGCAATAAAACTGATTTTTTTTTGTTATTCAACGGATTCCATTTTTGTTCTTCATCTCTTAAATATTTAGTCTGAGACACTAATGTGAATTAATTATTTAATTTAAATGTGATTTAATTCTGGGCGGAGAAATCTGAAAATATATATTACGGAGAGACTCGAATTTCTAAAAATCCCTTACGTATCTATATTTTAGTTCAGGATAAAAAAAATATATATAATTGTTGCTAAATGTAAACCCATTCACGTAAGTTCTTTTGCAGCTTAAAATTCCTTTAAAACAAATTCGGAATATTAAAAAAAAGCTCAGTCAGAATATTGAAATTTTTTTTTATTTTAACTCAATATGTGATGAAATGATTTTATTAGATTGTAAAATAGCATTTACAAGCTATGAAACTTTCAAAATTCCAATTATTTTTCTTACTTAAAAACATTTCCTCTTTTAGAATGCAGTTTCACACACCTTCAAAATTCATCTAAAATAATTATTAGCATAGACTAAAGATCCCAGGACAATAAACTTCATTTGAAGTTGAAAAAAATATAGAGCATTTATTTTTAACGGTGATCAAGACATATTTTCATTTAAAGTATGTAAATATTTTTTATATATTTGTATACTTGACAATGTTTTATAATGAATAAGCAATAGTCGAGCATTTAGGCTTTAATAATTTTAAAAAAAAAAACTTTTTTACGCAGCAATTCAGGATTTCTGCTAACTGAAGTTGTCTTGAGAACAGTTTGGGTACTCCTAAGGGAACGCCATGCCGTGAAAGAAGTTTTTCGCCGCAAATTCTCTTCATCCTTCATTACTAATTAAAACTTTAAAAGAAAGAAACAAGTAAGTTCAGACAAACCTAGAGTAAGTAATGAAGTTTCGGTTGCTGAAAAAAATACTTCAAAATATTAAAATGCAAACAAATTATTAGAAGAGAACTTCTCCCGTTGCGTAATCCTAAGTTATCGTCTCATAAATTATTTTCATTTGTGAATTTTAAAATTTTCTTTTCAGTATTTAAAACTGCATGGCTTAATCTCGGTTTGCATGAACTCACTTTTTCCACACTTTAAATTAGTTATGAAAGAAAAAGAGGAAAATTTTTTTCCTCGGTCTTCTTAAGCGGTACTCAAAGAGAGAAAGTTTTCGTAGGAAATAACCATTCACAAAGGGAACAGTCATTAATTAACCCCTTAACGATCGGTTCATTTTCAAGAAAACGGTCATAAAAATGCCTAGTTTTTTGGCTTTTGTATTTGCATTACATATTTGATTAGTGCTGCAACTAGTTTAAAATAAACTAACTATCTAGAATTATCTTAAAAATATTCTGGTACTGCCATCAGGTGTGTAAAATGAGAAATAAAATGTTTTCTGGTCAAAAGAAATGAATTAGTTTTATTCTTATTGGCACGTTACTACTGAACACTCCAGCCCGTCAATATCACGGGACAGAGAAGGAAGGGGTAAAAAGAAATAAAACTTGTGATATTTTCGTACCTGTGCGATTCACTCATAATGTATGCCGTTCATCATAAATATCCATATAATCCTAAGAAAATACACATGAAAAACATGATGCTTGATAATGTACAAACTTTATTTGCTGTGTCGTGATGATTAAGGATAAGAGCTTCCAATAAAGTAAACTGCCATCAAAATATGATGGTTTATATTTGTCCATCAAAAATCAAACATTTCTTGATGGTTTACCGTCATAGCACAAAAGCAACATTTTGTAATGATGGAAATTTGTTGGGCTATCAAAACTAGATGGTTGTATGATGGTGAATGGTGACCATGTTGGACCATCAAGAATCTTATTGAAAGCAACATAAACCATCAAAATCCTTTGATGGTACCATCAAGAATTTTTGTCTTGGGTAATATCGAACTTTGGAAACTTTTCAACTGTTTTCTATTGTTCATAATTTCTGAAACAAATCAAGTGGTTACATTATCAAGCAAACCCTCAAAATATTTTATCTGATTGATACGCCAGTCAATAAAATTGAGATTAATATCAAAATATAATTATTTTTAAAAAGCATGCTTATAAAATACTGTAAAAAGTCTGCCAAGTTTTTATTGGCTTCTGTTTGTTTTCTATCAGTGTTACATTTATAACTTTAAAGTTTTGAGCTATTTTGCTTCATTTCAATAAAAGAATTATTGTATCAATATTAGGAAAATGTAAATCTATGTAACGATAAACCAATGATATAAATAAATCCAACTATTCCACGATCGAAGCAAATGGTCGACGAGTAGTTGAATTTCTTGTCACAGTGGGGCGTTGTACACATTTCATCGAAAAGTGTTGTCATAATTGCAGTGCTTTGAAAAAAGTAAAAGCATTGTCATTTTACATGCTCCAGTATAACTAATGGAAAGTTTTTATATATTTTTCTGTGTGGTTTCTAACATTCATCGTAAAAGTTGGTAAGATTAACCTAAAAGAACCTCAGTTAAACTTTTTCAGTAATAATGATGTCAGCTAGAGAATTACATTAAGACATTTTACTTGATAATATTTATCTATTTTTTAGTTGAAAAAAATATAGTAGGATCAACTCAAATATTCATAAAGATTCTGGAAATATATGAGATGCTAAAAAATTATTCTTACAATTAGATTCAGAACTATTTTTTTCCTACATAGGATTTCATTAAATTCCAATTCAAAAAATTATGCAGTATACTCTCGACATCCATGTTATGTCAAATAACTATTTTTGGGATTACATATCCTCCTAATGTTATTTTGAATTCCTATGTCGAAAAGTTTTTTCTCAAAACCTTGCTATGCCTAATTTTTATTCGAAATAGAAAAGGAATTTTTTTCACAAAAATCTCATTGTAAACAATTCTTTTCTATTCAATGCAGAATTATTTTTGTCGTACTTTTAAAAATAAAATTATCATTGTTGTATTTAGACTTATAGTCTACTAACATCATTACATACATATTTAACAGTAGTCATTCCTATGTTTTATGACTCTACTTTTTAGAGTATTATTTTCGAATATATTTTTCTACATTTTAGAGCATATTTAGTTCTAAACTTGTTGTCTCAAAAAATCTCTATTTTTTAATCTTATTTTATAACCGTCGTTGAACAGCTGACCCCATTTTGGGTTTAAGACTACTAATGTTCAACACCGTAGCCTATTAATTTTGAACCTAATCCAGAAGACAAAGGAACTCCTGGATCAATTATTGGGAGAAATTTGCCTTCGTGGACGTCTTTTTGATGGAACTAACCTGCATTTGCGTTGCACAGAGAGGAAGACCACGAGAACCTCCCACGGTTAGAAGGATGGCAAGGGGACTCTAACGCATGATCCGTCTATCACTGAGGATATTTCAAGTCAGCACTGTGGACGGTGCAAGCAGGATGCGGAATTCGTATCCCAGACATTGCTGGGATTCGAACCCTGTTCACCTAGTTGGAAGGCGAACTCTCTATCCCTTGAGGGCTCAAAACTCGCCATCTCGTTTTTTTTTTAGCGTCCCTTCAACTTAGAGATATCGAGAGTACTTGCAAAAATGTATGTGTCCATTTAAAAATCAGGGCTGAGATAGATTAACGGTTTTAGTAACGGCTTTGCGTAATATTATCAAAAGAAAAACATTTACAAAGGAATTTGCTACTTACCTACCCCAGCCGAAAAGGGGCATGGCAGCCCAAAAGAAAGCATAGCCCCATACTGCTGCTAGCATTTGGCAGTACCTCCGATAATTTAGCTTACTTCCTATAATATCAAGAAATCAATGTATTGACATCATTATTACATGCTCTAAAATGATGTAAAAAATTGTATATTTTACAGTTCAAAATTTTGTCGACTATTTTTAAATAAAATAATAAATATATAATAAGAGTCATTTTTTGTATGGAATTTTCTCCGAATAAACGAATTTTATAATTGTGTGCAAATTTTTTTTGATTCGGTTAAAAATTTCTTGAGATATGGCGAAGTATGTAAAAATAAAATTAACATTAAGGGGACCAAATAATTGGAGCCATTTTTCCCAGATTGCGGCTCCCCTGATGTTCTGGGGGTCAGAAATACAAATTCAACGAAAAAAAGTAATGTTTATTCAGAAAAAGTACGTTTCTGTCTCTGATTTCGTAATTTAAAATATCGCCTGCACTATAGTTAAATTAGTGTATTTGAGTTCACCCCCTCGAACCATTAAGATTGAGTCCTAGAACGTGAAGATCCAATCATTAGATCAAATGTTACTAAGGGCGGTGAGTTTTTTTTATTTTGTGCACTGTACGTAAGAATGTTAGGGGAGAGTTGGATAAAACGGGATAGTCGGACAAAACGGGATACGTCGCCTAGGGACCAGACTATTGCAGCTATCTAGTGGACAACGACAGAAACGTGTTATTCGACCGTGATTATATTATTCTCGGTGCATCCCGTCTCGAGATCACTATTTGATAGAAAGTTGTAGGTCTCAGAACTTTTGCTATTCTATTTTTTTGTCATTTTCTACATTTACGTGCGTTGTTTTTTATATTGTACTGCCTACATATATGGGAATAAAATTCCGGTGAGTATTAAATTTGATTAACCATTTATTTACCAATATTTTTATTTTCAGTCTATCTAATTTTCTTTTCACATTTAGGCAGCAGCCATGTTTGTTTCAAAAAGTGTCGGAGTCGGACAAAACGGGACACTTATGAGTTGGATAAAACGGGATAGAGTTTTTTATGTCCCGTTTTACCCACCTATTTATTTGTTGGATTATTGCATTTTAAAATAGCCATATGTAGGCCTAGACTTTTTGAACAGCTTATTTATATTAGCTATATATATTTTTGTAAAATTTAGTCTCTTTATATAGTAATGCAAAATTTGTTTATTAACGTTCGTTATAAAGCATTTTATTTTCGACTCTAGGATTTCACATCTTTCTTTAGAACTAATTGTAATGTATTTCTCTGATGAAGACTTGAGCTTTTTTATATATAAACTTCGTAATTTTCTGAATTACTCAATTGAATCTACATTCGATTCTAAAAAGAATTCTTCTCTTTGTTTACTGAAGAATTTAAATACTTGATTATTAAAAAGTCTTTCAGGGATGTTGCGACATCAATGGAGTGAATTAGAAATAAAATTCAATTAGAAATGGAAGAAAAGGAAAGGATTATTAAACTACAAAAAAGAACCAAGAGAATAGAAGAAAAGGCTGCTAAGAAATCTCTCTTAAGAGCACAAGGCACATCTCGACAATGAAAATAGCGGAAATAAGCCATCATGTTTGAAAACTCGCAGTCTTTAAAAACAAATGTAGCATCATATTTTTTTGTGTACTTACTTATAAAAGAACAATCTATATAAAAGTGTTAGAACAGTAATATCCCATGAATCAGTTAATTATGCTTTTCACTTAGTTTTATGCAAAAAATTAAACATTGTAAACCCTATCCCGTTTTATTCAACCCAGGTATGCTAAAACGGGATATGTAAGAGTTTGGAAATTAATTTTTTTTCTATTTCACAGCCATTAAAATTAGTTTAAAATATGTTTTTTGTGTGTTTCAATCAATGCTGTAGCTACAAAAAAAAAAATAATGTAGGGTTCCTTAACAGATATTCCGTAGTAAATAAAAACAATAATGGTATCCCGTTTTGTCCAACTCTCCCCTACTAAGGTTGATATCTTTTTTTTGGAATGAATTTTTTCAAGGATTCCGGAGAAACACACATTAATTAAATGTAGATTGAGGCTTATCTGGATCAGGAATCTTAATAACGGTTCTAGAAATTTTTTTTCTCCAACTCATGAGGAAGTAACTCTTTTTCAAAAATAAATAACAAATATCATTTTATAATTGCATATTTCCCAGATTGCGGTCACCCTCTATATTTTGGAGGTCAGAAATCCGAATCTGTCGAAAAAAAGTTCCGTTTATCCAGAGAAAGTACGTTTTTGTGTCTGATTTTGTAACTGAACTTCTGATTTTGTCTGATTTTAAAAAATATCATCTGCACTTATTAATTAGCATATTTAAAGTCAACCCCTCGAGCTATTAAGAATCCTAGAACGTGAAGATCTGATTAGTAGATCAAAAGTTATTCACCGTGGTCCATTTTTTTTCTTTTTATTTTTTGCGCAATGTGCGTTACCTAAACAACAAAAAATTAAGTTCATATATTAATAAAAATTAAATACGTTCATTGAACTACAAAATTTTGTAAGTTTATCAAAAAATATGAAAAACTTTATATTTATCATTGTAACATTTTATGCACTAACAAGACAAGTGTATAAATTTAAGAGCGATGGTGAAAAACCTTAAAAAATTATGTATTTCCAAACAAAGTTCGTATTTTCAATGACATAATCTTTTCAACAATAAACAGTTCTTTTCCATTTGTCTCTTCTTTCAATCCTTTTTAACAAGAATTATAATATAATTAAGCTCACATTTTTATAATTTAATTAAATAAAAACTTAAAATACCGTTGACAAAATAAAAAACCCCAACTTAATTAGATTAAATTTTTTTAAAATAATTCATATATTTTAATTAAAAAATAAAAAAAAATATGTGACATCTATCAATTTTATTCTGTTTTTGAAATTTTACCATGTTGTAGGAAAAAAAATTAAATTAAAAAAAAGAAGAACTATCTTTTTAATCAGAAATAAAAAATCAAATGTTTCCCCAGGCAGAAAGCTTAATAGTTTAATCCACGGGAACTTTTTTTTTATTTGATAAGTAAAACTTTAGAGGAACATATTTTACCCCAGGGGTAGAAAAGTTTTACCCCTATCCAAGGTTTTCAACCGAGTAAGAATCGAAACGCTCATTTATTTTTAATGCCACATTATTTCAAATTCTGATCGTTACAACATTTTATGATCCAAAACTGCACATTTACAAGGGATCATTGAATTAATTTGTTTAAATATAATGTAATTTACCCTTGGAAAGTGAAGGATTTGCGTCTCTGAAATTCGCTTTTTTTATAAACTTTTTTAAGTTTTAAAAACAATTAAAAATTATTAATAAGGATTATTAAAAGGTAAAAAAAAATTTTATCTTTGTACTAGATATATGAATAAAGCTAGACAACAAGTAATATAAAAGTGAAATTTTTGAAGTCAATTCTCAGTTAGGTCAACAAAAAAAATGTTTATTTTAACTACTTTTTATTAAATAATTACAATTTTTCTCCCATATGAAACTAAAATTAATTAATTAAATTTAATTAACAGGGTGGCCACTCAAATCAGATTTCAAATTTCCCTGATTTTTCCAGGTTTTCCAGATAAAAATCTTAAAATTTCCAGGTTTTTGTTTCTTTTTTCTTATAAAGTGTAGGATGTGTACAAGAAAAGTGTCTTTATTATAAAATATTTTATTCAAAATGTTATTTTTTTTAACATATCATCTTGAAAAAAATAATTTATTTTGACAATTTGGCAAGATTTTTTTATTTATTTTTTAATCGTTTTCGTACAAAATTTTGAATCAAAAATCATATATTGACCAACAAAAGAGTAAAATGAAATATTAATATATAGTTGGTTCTTACAAGAATTTTTTTTTTAATATATGTTATAAAAGGTTAAAATGAAATAGAAAAAATTAGCATTAATGCAACAATTGTAACAATTTATCGACAAACATTGCTGCTAGCGATTGTAAAAAAAATGTGTGATTGGTTGGTTTGCTGAGAAAAAATAATTC